TTACTGATGTAAAAAAGTCAAACTAAACTAAAGTGTGATAAACTGTAAGTTGTGAATACTGTGAGAGCGCCCCCTGCTGTTTATCACAGTGTCACCACTCCTCAGTTTCGGTCTGCAATTCCCAAATGCTTTAGCCGAGCGCGCTAACGTTACTCCTCCTAATAAACAGACACACGTTCAGCTCCGTCTCCTCATTATTCACCACCATCACTGTAATATTTCATCATCAACATTAACACACGAAGGTGATCAGAGGGGCGGTGGAGATCGAGTCTGCAGCGTCTGAGATCTTTAAAATGCAGAGTTAGAAAAGAAAATCATCTCACAGTGAAAGCAGCGTTTTACAGTAGAAATAAATGGAGCTCATTATGCTGGTAGTGAACTATGCTGCTGACACAGCTGCCTAAAAACCATAGAAACGGACCTTAAACAGAAGTTAGAACACTGTTAGGGGTTCATCCTAAAGTTCAGTACTGTGAAAAAGTATTTGCCCCTCACCTGATTTCTTCTATTTTTGGTCATTTGGCACATTTAAATGTTTCAGATCATCCAACTAATTTTAATATAAGATAAAGACAACACAAGTAAACACAAAATGCAGCTTCTAAAAAATCATTCCAATTATTGAAGATAACAAAAACCTATATCATTCATGTGAAAAAGTAATAGCCCCCCCCTAAACTTAATAACTGGTTGTGCCACCCTCAGCAGTAACAGCTGCCATTAAACATTTGCAATAATTTGCGATGAGTCTTTTACATCACTGTGGAGGAATTCTGGTCCACTTCCTCTTTGCAGAAATGTTTTCATTCGGCTACCTTGGAGGGTTTTCAAGCATGAACTGCCCGTTTAAGGTCTTGCCACAGCATCTCAATGAGGTTCGAGTCAGGACTTTGACTCAGCCACTCCAAAACCTTCATGTTGTTTCCTTTTAACCATTCAGAGGTGGACTTGCTTGTGTGCTTCAGATCTTTGTCCTGCTACATAAACCCAACAGCACTTGAGCTTTAGGTCACAAACTGAAGGATGGACATTTTCCTTCAGGATATTCTGATAGAGAGCAGAATTCATGGTTCCATCAGTTATGATAAGTCATCCAGGTTCTGCAGAAGCAGAGCAGCCCAGGCCATCACACTACCACCACCATGTTTGACTGTTGGTATGATGTTCTTAAGATGGGGAGCAGTGTTAGCTTTACGCCAGATGTAACGGGACCCATGTCTTCCAAAAGGTTCTACCTCTGACTCGTCTGGCCATAAAATATTATCCCAAAAGTCTTGGTGGTCATCTATGTGTTTTTTGGCAAATATGAGACAAGCCTTTGTGTTCATTTTGGTCAGCAGTGGTTTGTGCCGTGCAACTCTCCCATGGATGCCATTTTTACCAAGCGTCTTTCTTATTGGACATTAACCTTAATTGAGGCAAGTGAGGCCTGCAGTTCTTTAGATGTTCGTCTGAGCTCTTTTGTGACCTTCTGGATGAGTTGTCAGTGCGCTCTTGGTGAAATTTTGGTAGGCCGGCCACTCCTGGGAAGGTTCACCACTGTTCTAAGTTTTCTCCATTTGTGGATAATGGCTCTACCTATGGTTCACTGGAGTCTCAGAGCCTCAGCAATGGCTTTGTAACCCTTTCCAGACTGGTGGATTTCAGTGACTTGGTTTCACATCTGTGTTTGAATCTCTTCAGAGCTTTTTAAGACCTTCAAGCCTGCTTCACATTGCCAGACAGGTTCAATGTAAGTGATGTTTAAATTCAACAGGTCTGGCAGTAATCATGCCTGGGTGTGGTTAATGAAACTGAACCCAATAATCAATTGAATTTGGTCAACTGGTTGATTTAGTAGCTAAGGGGGCAATTACTTTTTCACACAGGGCCAGGTAGGGCTGAACAGCATATAAATGGTTTAAACAGTTTGGTTAGGTCTGTAAGGCTTCTGCACAGCAATGTGGCAAGCAAGTAATGGAAGCTCTTAGTCGCTAGGTTAGCATGGTGCTAACTGCAGGCCTAAATCATCACACACTCTCCTCACAGCTTGTGGAGCTGTTCAGTATCTCTAATAGTCTTGATTATGTGGTTTCTGACACTGTATAACTCACTGTTATCTATAAACATGGACTAAAGTCTAAAACACTGTAGCAGCTGTACTGAAGCTGTGAATGTCCAGAGCTATCATTTTAATGTCCTGCTCAGAGGTCATGCAGGGGTCAGGAGGATCAGACTGGTGTTAAAGAAGGAGGACGAAGAGTCAGTGAAATCAATGCAGGATTTATGTGCTTTGCTGACACTGACCTGTGCAGCATGTCAATAACACGCTCTGCATGACTGGGGATGAATAATAAATCACATTGATCGATTACAATAAAGCTGTTCCGCTTCATAGATCATATAATGATCTGTTACACATCAGATGATCAGATGAGGAGTAATTTATCTCTGCAGTGTCCAGTGGTCAGATGCTGCAGTAGCTGATTAAGAAAGTTTGGGGAAAGTGGCGCAGTAGGTAGCGCTGTCACCTCCTAGCAAGAATGGCCTGGGCTCGGTTCCCCGGCCGGGTTACCAGGGTCCTTTCTGTGCGGACTTTGCATGTTTCCCCTGTGTCTGTACGGGTTTCCTTCCACAGTCCAAGGTCATACAGTCAGGCCAGCTGGAGATGCTAAATTGCCCTTAGGTGTGCATGTGTGTGTGTGTGCCCGTGTGTATGTCTGCCTGTCTACCCTGTGATGGACTGGCGACCTTGTCCAGGATGTTTCATGTCTTCCGCCCAGTGGCCACTGAGATAAGCTCCAGCATTCCCCACAACCCAGAAGGATAAGTGGCGTAGAAAGTGTGTATGTGTGACATTCAGGGGGTCCTAGAGACCCCCCAGGACACTCTGTATTTATGATTTCACATCAGTCCACTCTGAATGACCCCCAGCTTTTACTTTCCAAAGCGTGTTCCTGGAAGTGAGCTGCTGACTCATGAGAGCACAATTTCAGAGAAGCTCTCCATTCACTAATATTCATTTTGGGCTGATTTCAGTCCAAAGATAAAGACACTCCTGAGCTGTTTTAGATCACTGCCGTGTTCTCTTCTACAGAGACTGGACTGTCTGTCATTTGATCCACAGGCCTGTCAATCACTTTATAGTTTTAAAATAAACGTTTATCCACGAAACATACAGAAAATGATGTGATATATATATATATATATATATATATACACACACACATACATATTTTAGTGGAAGAGCAAGATTGGTGTTTCTAATAAAGTGGCCAGTTAGTGCAAGTGCAAGGTTGGAGCAGGACGGGAGAAGTTGGTCACAGATCATAATCTAAATAGTGGCTTTATGTGTGAATGCCATCTAGTGATGAAAGATCGGGAGGCATGTATGGGATGTACTTTAGTCCATATTTGTAGATATCAGTGTGTCATACAGTGTCAGAAATCACGTTCCATTATATTTTCACTTATCTTGATAAATGTTTCAAATATTGGCTAAACACATAAGATCCTCCAAAAGAAAAGATGTCTGCACACCAACTGGGTTCTGTTAAATTTACTGGATGAACAGAAGAGTTAACATTCAGACAGTGTCATTAGCTGAGCCTGTTCAGACACGGACACAGAGACAAAGACGACTATTACAGCTACAGGCCTCAGTTATAACAGTTATTACAGTCAATATAACAACACCACACAGCAGGATTCAACTTCTGTGGACCACATTCTTTACCGTTAATACTATTAATATACGACTCTGGACCTGTTAAAGAACATAATTAATATCTGATGCACATGAGATTATCATTGTGTGGAACACATGGATAAGGTATATTATAAGAATACGTCCTGCAGCTCAGTGTGACACCTAGCTTTTCATTCTGATTTAAATGAACATTTTCTTGGTTCATTTTACAATATATTAAAAATTAACCAGGAAAACAACATCACAACAAATATTAAAAGCACATTTTAGCCAAATAGCTAAAGAAAAGACGAGTTTCAATTTATTTTGATTATTATCACAAATATGTACATGATATTTTTTCTTCTGTAATATGGTAAGTTACTGCAGTTAAACAGAATAATAATAATAATAATAATAATAATAATAATAATAATAATAATAATAATAATAACAACAACAACTATAGAACACATTTCAAGTGCTTTACAAACAAGAGATTAAATTCAATATCAGTAATAAAAAGCAAATAATAACTAAAATAAGAGTATTCATTAAAACGAAAAGTTCCACAGTTTGAAAGCATGATAACAGAAAATCAGTCATTAATATAAAAAAGAAATTTTAAAGTGATTTTGAAAAGCTAGGTGCCCCCAAACTTTTGACAGGCAGTGTAGCGGTGCAGGTCAGTTCAGTGTTCAGCGCTGCATAATATAAGATACTACTCAGTAATTGGGGGTCATTAATTTACTGATTTGATCAATTAACCATCTGAACTATTTCACTGCATTTTATTTTACCATCTTGTTATTTATTTATGGTGTTTTTTTAGTCTTTTAATATACATATTATATTTATATCTCAACTTCTACCTCACCAAGCCTGTCCACTCACTGTCCACTCAGTTAGACACTCCTACTTTGTTAGTCCACCTTGTAGATGTAAAGTCAGAGACGATAGCTCATCTGCTGCTGCACAGTTTGTTTTGGTTGTCCTCTAATCCTTCATCTCTGGTAACAGGACGCTGTTGGCTGGATATTTTTGGTTGGTGGACTATTCTCAGTCCAGCAGTGACACTGAGGTGTTTAAGAACTCCAGCAGCACTGCTGTGTCTGATCCACTCGCACCAGCGCAACACACACTAACACACCACTACCACGTCAGTGTTACTGCAGTGCTGAGAATGATCCACCACCCAAATAGTACCTGCTCTGTGGGGTCCAGACCATTGAAGAACAGGGTAACAAAAGTATGCAGAGAAACTGATGGACTACAGTCTGTGCTCCTATATGGTCAGTGGAGCTGATAAAATGGACAGTGAGTGTAGATGAGGTGTTTTTTAATGTTATGGCTGATTGATGTATAAAATGTATTATTAATATTATTACTAACTCTAGGGCTGCCTACTCCTCTCTGCTGTGTTTGATCTGAGATGGTCAGGATTTTACACGTTTAACATGTTAAATTATGTGAGGATTTTTCACTGCAGAGTGACAACAAAATCATACATTTAATCCAAACATTAGCTGAGATAATCTGCCGTTCTTACTGTTGATAAGGTAAAGAAGTGAATGCAAAATCCAAATGTGGAAAAAAGAGCTGTTTGTCCTGAAACTGCAGCCACCAGATAAAACAGCTCACTTCATCCAACTAAATCTAAAGGAGCGTCTAAAAGATCCAAACATCGTCCCCCAAAAAAGCGACATAAGCTAAAGTAGAGCAGAGCTGCCCTCTAGTGGCAGAAAGGAGGAGCAGCAGCATCCAGAGCAAGGAGCGTTCAGACAGAAGCAACCTGTGAGTCCACTCCAGTCCAGAAGAGGGCAGTGTTTTAGATCCTCCACACATCCAGAGGAGAAGGTGGAACCTCAAAGGTCGTACGGGTCAGCGGAGAGAGATTAAAGGTGCGGACAGAGGGAAAAGCGTCTGATCCTCTTAATTCAGCTGCTTCAAGGCAAACTGGGAACAGAGAAGAATACAATATAATACAGACATCAAAGCTTTATAGCTTTTATGCAGTATAACAGTAATATGATATATGGAGCATTCTGCCAAAACAGTTAAAAAACTATTTAAAAACAATGAACAATGATTATTTCTCAAATAATACTCACTTTTTTGTATTGTTTTATTTGATTTCTTGTAAAGTGAAGTTGAAAGATTTAGATTTATAATGAGTTCAATTTTTAAATAAAACATGCTGTCTAATGTTTTCATATCACTACTGAAACACAGAGTTTTAGTCTGTAGGCAGAGACTTGTTTGAGCCACACCCCTGCATTTTGGAGCAGGAAGTGAGGCTGTATCCCTGTCCCTCACGGCCACATGGTGAGTAGTTAGATCCCATTGCTTTTAAGCAAATGTGTCTCAAAGTCTGAAAAGTCAGTGTGCATACAAGGTAAAGGTTGGATGTTTTAATTGTAAAGGTTATGATTATTTTGGTAGTGACAAAATGTTCAATCATTGATTTTAATATATATATATATATATATATATATATATTAATAGATGAACATACGGTGCACACGTTAGCACATCTACACGTTATTTACGCATTGACAGCCCTAATAGTATATAACATACAGTTGAAAGGTTTGGAAATACATTGACCTTTGGAAATACAGTGACCTAAAATGTGTTCAACAAGTCCAAACTAACTTCTATTTTAGATTATTTAATAGCCCCACCCACTCAGCCTTTATGAAACTTTAAAAAGTCTTGGTGTTCTATCAGGGAGCTTCATGAGGAGACACCTCAGATGATTTTCCAACAGCTGAAAAATCCACACATGATCACACCACTAAACTGCTGTAGGCTGAATGAGTGTGGCTAAACTGCTGTAAGCTGAATGGGTGGGGCGAAACCGCTGTAGGCTGAATGAGTGAGGTTAAACTGCTGTAGACAGAATGGATGACCTCACTTTTCAGTGAGTTTCTTGTATTTTTCTGCTTACCTTCTGGGTGATTTTGCAAGTTGTTTTGCAGCCCTGAAGTCTCCACGATCACTCAACACCTGACTGGCCCTGCGGACTACACTACCCATACTCCTCTCTGCTGGAGGAGAGGAGGGGGGCCTGAACACTTTAGCAGTAGATGCTTTTGCAGTGGAAGCTTTAGCAGTGGTTGCTTTTGCAGTGGACATTTTAGCAGCAGAGGCTGAAATGACAGAAAGGACATCATCAGTCAACTCCCTGTACACTTTATTAGAAACACCCACCTTGTGCTTTCACACACTGGCCACTTTATTAGAAACACCCACCTTGTGGTTCCACTAACTGGCCACTTTATTAGAAACCCCCACCTTGCACTTTCACACACAGGCCACCTTATTAGAAATAACTACCTTGTGCTTCCACTAACTGACCACTGTACTAGAAACACCTACCTTCTGCTTCCACCAACTGGCCACTTTATTAGAAACATCCACCTTGTGCTTCCACTCACTAGCCACTTTATTTGAAGCTGCAGGTATGGGTTGGATTTGGGATTCAGTTTCATGCCTGTGCAAACCTCAACACCAACTACACGTCTACAACCAAACTGGAAAAACGCCCAGCTCACTGCCACTGCCTCCTAATCCTTACAGGAACACAGGTTCCTAACCCTGGTCCTGAGGAACCCCCTGCCCTGCAAGTTTCTCCTGCTCCCAGCACACCCACTTCAAGTCATTAAGGGCTCGTTAATGAGCTGGGTAGTTGGATCAGGCATACTGGGAACAGGGAAACAGTAAAATGTACAGGGCAGGGCAGGGGGTGCTCCAGAACCCACTGCAATAGTGATTAGCAAGCCCCTCAGGGCCACCACCAAGCCTGTCTCTGACAACTGGTCCTTTCTATGACATCTGATGGATCGCCTGAGAGGTGATGGGATTTGATCCAGCTCTAGCCCAGCACAGAAGGTCCTTCTACCCTGATAAAGACCTGAAAGCTAAGAGGACCTGCCTCAACACAGGCAGCTTACATGTGGGCTTTCCAGACAGAGGCCACTCACTCACTGGCCTCGTTCTGGGACTTCAGATGGAGGTCAGATGGTTCACAGGCCAGAAGATGCAGTGCCCTACATGTTCCAGAGCACTTCTGTGCTGCCCTGCTTGCTCAGGAGGATGCAATTTCATGCCTCAGCCAGAGGACATCTATTCTGCCCTGCCTGTGCCAAAGGACAATGCCCTGTAGTTGAAGCCCTGCAGCTGTTCCTCTGCCATTCCCTCAGACCGACCCATTCTGTGTTAAACAGTCTTTTTTCGGAAGGTTTAACCTTGAAGCGACGGCCCAATCACAAGACAAACCGTTTGCAATATCTGTAGCGCTTTGTTGCCTTCGTGTTCGAGCTGTGGCAGTCACGCTGCCACATCACTCATGAGGCAGAGGTCAGCAGTGAGGAAAAAGGATTGTCTGGCTCGCAGGATGGAGCAGTACTGGAGCCGTTTCGGAGCGAGAGAGAACACTTACACTCTGACATTCTGTCGCTCTGCTCCCACTCCGGACCACATCTGCATCAGTTCCAGAGGCTGATCTTGCACCAGCTCCCCCATGACCAGATCCTCAAACTGGTTCCTCAAGTAATTGCCAGTGCTTTGTGACACATTTGCTCATCTTTTACTCTCTGGAGGTTCATGATCCCCACCCCTGCTGCCAGTCCTGCTCCAGACCCCTTTGATGGGTCATCCTTGCCTCTGGATATCTTTAACGCAGCTTTAACGGTCCCTTCACTTGGTCCAAGCTCACCACATTCTTTGGGAGCTGCATGTTAAGTTCTCCCTGTGTATTGACCTCTTACAATGACTACGAGTGTAAGTCCCTAAATAAAGCATCTTGCTGCCTCCTAATTGTTCACTCAGAACATAAACCCACTCCATCGATTCTTCATTCAGATCAATTAATGCAACCGAGGTGTCTGTAAGGCTCGTCACTGTGTTCCTCCAGCCTGGCATCTCTCCCATCCATTACACTTCAAGCAGCCGGCGTGAAGCCCGGTGCCAGCTAACACCCCCACACTAACGCCGGACTTTGTGTCCCCGCTCACCCTCCAGAACAAAGTGGCCTCTGAACCCTCGTAATGGAGCCTTTCTCTGGAGATCAGAGCGCTGTCAGCGAGATCTGAACAGCCCCTGCAGAGGAATAACTCTCAGCTCACAAAGACCCAGTCACATACCAGCCCACCATCCCCACCACCAACCACTCAGTCTCACAGAGCAGGACACGATGATGGGGACAAACTCCTGTCCTGTAGACCCACTGTCTTGTTTTAATGATTCCCTGACTCAGCTCCTCTTTATCAAGCTTTTCAGCTTAAATGTGCTGGGGGATATTTAACTGTGCAGGGCAGTGGGTCCCCTGGACTGGACTTGAGACCCGCTTACCTACAGTCTAAAAACTAGTTCCTAAATCTGTTTACCGCTGTTTTAAAATGAACAGTTCACAAATATGACTGCATACATTACCTGAATTAAAGAAAACAACGGTGTTGTTCCCAGTAGGGCTGAATGATTTGGGGAAAAGATCTGCAATTCTTCTAATATTGTGACTGCGCTTTAAATGCATAGACAGTTATTTTCCATAAATTAATTTACAGGCCTGCTTTTTGGCCAAGAAGATCAGAATATCCATCTTTTCTAGAATGAAGCTTGGGGATGTGATGTCACATATACAGAACATTTGTGTTTGGTGTTTTGTTGCTTCTGATTGGTCTACCTCATCTACAGGCAGTTTGCAAGCTCTGTGTTATTAGGTTAAATATTCTCATTACAACACTGTTCATAATGTATTCTATAATCGAAATTGCAGCTCTTGCGATTTGAAAACTGCACTCTCTCAAGTTGGGACTTCAATATAAAAAAGATTAATCTTTCAGCCCTAGTTCACAGGAATAATCCTTGACAGTTATGCTGCTTGACAACTGCAACCTACCAGGGTTATTATAGTTTGCTAAAACCATGACTAAAACTAAAACCAGCAGTTAACTGCAATAAAAAAAGAAAAGGACAGTTTTTCAAAAACATGAGAACTAAATCAAAACTATAATGTGTAATGCAAAACTGTCTTAAACTAAATAAAAACCTTTACTTTTAGTATTATTAGTGTGTAAATGAGAGTTTAGAAGTGGAACGTTCTGTATTTGGTCTTTAAGGAAAGCAGGAGTCGAGCTGAGCTCAGTCTACTGCTGTGTTCATTTTACTCTGCACTTACCATATACCTGCTATCATCATAATACCAAAAACTGAAACTAATACTAAATAAAAAAAAAACTAAAACCAAGGCTTTTCAGACAATAAAAACTAAACTAAAACTATTAGTGCAACTTTAAAACAAAAACTAACCTGAAAACAAAAAATCAAAATTAGAAACTAAATAAAAATTAAAAACGCTATAATAATCCTGTAACCTACTGTTAATGAACAACACTGTTGCATAATTAATTGGGACTGAACATTAGGCTTTATGTCATATTATGCTATATAAAAAAGCAGTAAGGTCTGAGGTCTGGATTGCGAAACAATAGATGTAAATAAAACAAACAAGCTGAGCAAACATTTGGGCTTACCCTTCTGGCTGCTGCCCTGAAGCTGGCCTTGGTTTACAATCATTGTGTTCTTCATTCGGTTCAAAAAGATCTTACAGCGGTAGATGACCATGTTTACAGAGCAGGCGTCTAGAGTAAACAAACAAAGAAAAGACCTGTCAGTCCATGCTAATTATCAGAGGAGGCTACTTATGCAAGTAAGGCAATGCTACCTGCTTCCCAACAACCTTCACTTTACTGTTTTATGGTAATGTAAGCCTTTAGAGTGAAGGATCAGTAACCAGTAAACAGTGACTACATTTGGAATGAAGTGCAATAATCTTTATTTTTGAGCTAGAGGATGAGGCTAATGTGCTAACAAGTTCTCCCCAATTCGTGTAAATCATTAAACACTTGCCTCAAAGCATGGGAGGGTGCTCAGTAATTCCTCAAAGACTTGATTATGTGTTTTCTGACATTGTATGAAGCACTGATATCTATAAAAATGAGCTACAGTACATTATCACAGCTAAACACAGTAGCAGCCATCTGTAAACCTGAATTTTGCCCGTTTTGGCTGATTGATTACAATTCATTTTAGACTCTAAAATGAATGAGTGAAGCTTTCACCTCCCATCAGTTTGGACTGACAGTTGATGAACTCTGTTGGCCGTGGAGCAGTTTGGACCTTCTTCCTCTCCACCACTCCTGGAACAGCAGGCTGGTCCCCTGAGGTCCTGGGGCCCTTCTGATCCCCAGCGGTCCCGACACTGGAGTTTTGTTGATTTTTCAACAATACAATAAAATGTAACATTTTATATCACATCTATGACATCAGTGGCCATATCAAAAACATTTAATTTTTTTTAGGTACATCACATTATACAAAAAATTCTCACGTCATTTTACAATTCACGTTACACATATACATTTTTTAAAAACAATGAATCTATATTAAAAACACGTCAGGATATGCCAAAGCAGTGTATTATTTTTCCTTTTTTTTCATAATACTGCTTAACTATGTCTTGACTACACATTCTTTGACAGTTTGTTTGGCAGAAATAAAAATATTTTGGTTGAATTTTTGCTGTAGCTGCCCATATTTGGTATATTATTGTACAAATACATACATACCCCACATTGGCCGGCTCGAGCCTACCCTCCCAGTAGTTCTGGCAGGCATGATAGAGAATTTGGACAAACATGCACTTCTCTGCAGCCGAGCTGGCTACCCACTGGTCATGGTTGTGATCGAACACCAGATCAAACTCTGGACTGTCCTGAAAACGATTAATCAGAGTGATGAGCCAAATAGAAACACGTGCATGGAAGGCAGAGATAACTGAAGAAAACTCGAAGGGAGAAACCTTGTTGGGGTTGCTGCCATCGACCCGGCGGAGCTGCTCCACTGACCACTGAGATCGTTTGGCAAAGCGTGGAGAGGCAGGATATTGTTTCACCTTCGTGATGAAAACCTGAACGGGCCGCTTATTCGTAACTGCAGTTTTTAGACAAAAGCACATCACGTAGCTCAAAAACCAGTAACTGCAGCCATCTAGACAGCTGGATTTTCCCAAACATTTGTCCATGTTTACAGATAATCACATAATTAAGTCTATTAGAGATTACTTTGGAATTGGTGGCCTATAAGCTTCCATTATTTGTTACCTACATTAGCCTTGTAGCTCCAGTTCTAAAATTAACAAAGCAAAGTTTAGGAACCAAACATATTTTGGCTGATCGGGCAAGTTTGTGCTAAAAGGAAAATTATGTAAATTAGATTTTTCGTCGAATTACACCACATTACAATTCCGCTAATACACGAGCAGTGGATTACCCGACAGGCAGAGGAAGGTGACATAGTCTCTCTTGCGGCTGGCCGTGAGGAAGGGCAGCCTCCTCCTCGTCCTCTTCTTCACCTCGATTGCTACCAGTAACTTCTCGTCCTGCGGGGCAAAGATTTCCCTGCTGATGGCGGACTGGATGTTCATCATCAGGGTGCCAAGGGCCTCTGTAGCAGCACATTTCAGGATATGTTGGACATGTTTTAAAACCGTTTTAAAACTGATGGTTACTGAGAAAGCAGGTCAGATCTAAGAGTAAAATTTAGGTGAAAAGATTCTCTTGAAAAGAGAAAGTGATCTGAGTCAGTTCAGATGGAAATATGGTTTCAGTTCTTTAACTTCTAATTGCTGCATTTGCTTCAATAGATCACGGCATTTCCAAGACCCTTTCACATCTTGAAAACTGTGTTGGCCACTCAAAAATTGTCCTAAAATAGTTGAATCCTACATTAAAATAAGATGATACTGTTCTGGGTGAAGGGGGCGGCATGGTGGCGCAGTGGGTAGTACTGTTGCCTCACAGCGAGAATGGCCTGGGTTCGATTTCGAGTTTGCATGTTCTCCCCGTGTCTGCGTGGGTTTCCTCCGGGTAAATGCGCTAAATTGCCCCTAGGTGTGTGTGTGTGTGAATGTATATGTCTGTCTGTCTGCCCTGCGATGGACTGGCGACCTGTCCAGGGTGTATCCTGCCTTCTGCCCAATGACAGCTGGGATAGGCTCCAGCACCCCACCGCGACCCAGAAGGATAAGCGGTTTAGATGATGTATGTATGTATGTATGTTCTGGGTGAACGTCTCATAGAGAACATTATATTCTTCAGGGTGTGCCACAGGGTTCTGTCCTAGGCCCACTTTTATCCCCTTTGAAATATTGCATTACATTACTAAAGAGTATTTTCTACTTCTATTTTTATATTTATTCTTTTCATGGTCTGCAAGATCTGCTGAAACGAACAGTGACTGTCCTTGCGCAAAGTTTAGTTTCTGAGCCAACTGCAACAGGAGCTCAGATTTTTACAACAAAGATTTGCTTCTTACATATAACACAATGCACAGCATTAACACATCAGTGGCCACTTTTCACTATATATAAACAGAGCAAAGAGGGCAAACAGTGCATAGAGTGGGAGACCAAACAGGCCAAACATCAGCACAGAAAGACAGAAATACTAAGCAGGAGCAAAGCAGAAAAGTTAAATTTGCCCACAGTTGTAGATTCTTGAAAAATAAAAGATGCCGAAATGGGTTATTTGGAGCCATTTCATAAAAGAGCAATAGGACATCTAGGATACTTTTTTTTTTTTAAGTCACTTTTGTAACCTAAATCTGCAAGCATGGAGAAAGCCAATATAAACCAATATAAAACTTTTTCCTAACACTTTATATACAAACCTAGAACCATTTAAGAATTTTATTTTTTTTAATTGTACAGACCTGTCTTATCCTACTACAGATCTCAAATTAAGGTATTATTTTATTAGTTTATGTGAACGCAATTTGGACAGCATGATATTCTCAGGGTGTACCACAGGGTTTAGTACTGGGTCCTTTAATTTACCTTGTACTGCTGAATTACATTAATAAAGAGTATGGATGAAATGATTAAGGTCTGTAAGATCTTTAAAGTCAGAAAAGAAATCATTAAAGTTTAGGGATGGAATTATTACTATAGATATAGTAGGATTCATAGGATCTATCAAAACCAACACTTACCATCCTTGTGCAAGGTTTAGTTTTTGAGCTCAAAAAATGATTTCAACAACAGTAAGAAAATATTTAAATTTTGCCTCAAAGAGATGCCATAGAAGAAATAACTTTAAGAACTTAAAAGAAGTAAGCGTGGAGAACCTTTTAAAGAATGTCCACACCATGTAAAGATTCTATACCAACTAAAGTTTCCTAGATGTTCACATTCAAGCCAAGAACCACATAGAAACAGGGCAAAAAATACCAGAACAATGAAAGAGAGCAGCTGGGAGATGGACAGACTGGCCATTGTGCTTACATTAGTCATGCCAAGACAAATAAACACCATTGACCGTCTGATGAAAGTGACCAAATCATGAAAGAAAGTTTTAAATCAACTTTATCCACGAGTACACAGCAGAAAGAAGCTTATGTCTTCTGAGAGTATGATAGCAAGTAGGAAACAGGTAGGAAAAGCCTCTAAACTTTAGCAGCATAAAAGCAAAGTTGATAACTGGACATTAGAGTTGATGTTAATGTCCAATTTGACCACAGCAGCGGCTAATGTTAGTGCATTAGAGTCTCTTATACATAGATAAATACACAACACTTACTCACCCTGGTGGCTCTGTCTGACCTCCTGCTTCTCTCTTCCTCGATCTGCTCCTTCTTTAAAGCCGCTCACAGTCCACCCCCCACCCCTCCACCCCGTGAGTGTGAATGTGTGATAGGGAGTGCGCAGTGAGCATCTTCAATCAATTGTGAAATGTACAGTTCTGTGTACCCCCTCCTTTCATTTCCAGTCAAAACAGCCATTATTGTCAAGTTTGTGAGGAGATTAGATATGAGATAATCTGCTTACATTATGAAAGAGGAAGTAAAGGAAAATAACTCCAAAGTCTCCAAAACTGGAGTTCAAAAAATGATTGAAAGCTACAGAGAAAATGTGACTCATAACAACCTCCTGGAAGACCTGGTCGACACCAAAACTGCTCCCAACAGATAAACAGCACTTAAAGCTTTCATCTCTGAGAGAGAGGAGAAAATTGAGCTGCTTCAGATCTGAAAACATCCACAGGTGTTTCTGTCCATCCTTCCACTGTGAGATGACTGTGGGTCTGAAAGGATGTGTAGCTGATCAAGAAGAGCCTCACTGAGAAAAGGAGACGGACACATCAAACAAAGAAGCTGAACAATGGACTGACCACCCCAGAGTCCAGACCTCAACACCACTGAATGTGTTTGGATTACTTCAGAAAATCATCAACCAGCTTCTAAGACTGAACTTTGGAGGAGTGTCTGCAGATTTCTTTGAGAAACTGAACGTGAGTCTCCAAATCCTCATATATAGCTTGTACTTAATGGTTATTTCAGCATAAACTGAACTGCAATTCATTTAAACAGAACACTGGCAATGAAACTCACAGCTTCTGATTTTTGTTTCAGGCTTTTATTGTCATTGTTGTGAACAAATTACAGCTTGTTACAAGTTTTAAATATTGAAATGGTTTTAAGGAATGAAGGAGGCACAGCCTGCTGGACATCAGAGAAACTTTACAGTGGAACAAAGTTTACAGCAGCACAGCATTACACGTTTAATCAGATAAACACACACACAGGGGGCTAATGAAGAGCAGACAGACGGACGCAGCAGAGGGGGGCAGTAAATACCCACTGGTTGGAATGGAAAGCAGTAAATGCTCTCCAATTAGGGGTATAAATGCCCTCTAGTTGGGGCAGTTTGAGATTAAATGCTATTTGGCGAGTGCTGTAAATGCCCTCTGGTTGAGGCAGTGTGTGCCCTCTACTTTGGTACAGCAAATGTCCTTTTTGGGGCTGTACATGGGGCTAACAGATGTCTGATGGGGCAATAAGTGTCCTCTTGTCCTCTTGGAGTTAGGTCCCTCTAGATGGGGCAGTAAATGCCCTCTAGTTGAGGGAGTAAAGTCTTTCTGGTTGGGACAATAAATGCCCTCTGGTTTGGGCTGTAAGTGCCCTCCACTTGGCAGAGTAAATGCTGCCCAGTTGGGGCTGTAAGAGCCCTCCAGTTGGCACAGTAGATGCCCTCCAGTTGGGGCTGTAAATGGCACTGTAAATGTCCACTGATTGTGGCTAAAAGTGCCCTGTGGTTGAGACAATGTCCTCCAGTTGGGGCAATAAATACCTTCTGATGTGGGCTATAAATGTAATTGGGTAGAATTGCATCCAGTTGGGCCTGTAAGTGCCCTCCAGTAGGGCTATAAATGGCTATTATTATTATTGCTCTGTTTGGGGCCATAGATGGGACGGTAAATGTCCTCTGGCTGGGGCTTTGTTTTGGGTATTAAGTGCCCTCTGATTGGGTCAGTAAAAGGGAAATTAAATGATGTTTGATTGGGGCAGTTAATGTCCTCTGGGGCGGTAAATACTCTGTGTTTGGGGCATTAAGTGCTCTCTGTTTGGGGCTTTAAATGGGAGCTTAAGTGTCCTCTAGTTGGGTCAGTAAATGCTCTTCGATAGGGGCATCAAGTGTCTCTTTTTTGGGCATTAAGTGCCCTCTGATTGGGTCAGGAAAATGTCCTTCTTTTGAGACCTTAAATGACATTTGATTGGTGCAGTTGATATCCTCCGATTGGCTCAGTAAATGCCCTTCGTTTGGGGCATTAAGTGCCCTCTGTTTTGGGCTGTAAATGGGTCAGTAAATGCCCTCTGCTGCTCCATCGTCCTGCTCGGACAGACGGTGGCACTGTTCACACTGTTGGCACCTCCACAGTTGGTCTAAGAGTGAGGGGGAGAATGTTACCAGCTTATTTCCTCTGAATGTAAAGGCATAGGGGTGAGTTTCAAGGATTATTATCTATAAGGAAAAAAATAAATAAATAAAACACACAACCACAAAAGTAACACAAAATGAGAGTTCAGCATCGGTCTCATTAAAACCAACAGTGAGTCCTTTTACAACGATACATCCAGTGCTGGAGCGTGACTCTCCCATTGTTTTAGTGATTAAATCTCATTTACATTGACTGAAACTCTTTGTTAGCTGAATGCGATGCAAAAGTGGCTTTCATGCAACAGTGTGGTCACACTAAGGTGTGCAAATTACAATAATAATAACAATAGTAATTATACATAAATAACAATTTTAAACTTTTCTAAGTTTATTTTAATATTGTCAGGGCAAAATACGTTCGATAATTCAACATACAATTCTAAAATAATTTTCCAGTGGGTCCACTTCTATTACAACAGTGCTCAGTCAATCTCTCTGATCTATACAATTAAGCCTTCGTAATATTCACTCTTACGTTTGAGTCATAAAATTTGTTTAGGTGCCTAAGGTTCCCAAAAGCATCCCCATGTTGGATCATCTGAGCATATGCAGTACGTCGTTATATAAAATTATATAATATATTGCTGTAAATCAATCCGAAAATGGATCCAAAACGCTCTAGCATGTCAGCAGACCCAGAAATATTAGTCTGAATATGTGTTAGAGGTGGGCGATATGTATCAAAATATTTTGAGTTGAAACTGACAAAAATGCACCTGAAACCTGAGTATGATTATTTTCTGAAATTTAATTTGGCATCAGCACAAATAAAAAGAGATAAAAATAAATAAATAACATGAGCTGACAGTGTAGTTTTTGTGGTGACTATAGTTTTGATGTTTACAGGCTCACTAATATTATTAATAAATAGTAATAATAATAATAATACCTGTTATACATCTGTTAATGGCTTCAGGTGTGTTTGGAGCGGGGATAGAGCAAAAATTTGGAGCGTCTGAAGATCTGGGTTGATTCTAAAAGTACTGACGATACCCACACAGGGCAATATGACCATATACATCATTATCATGATACAAATATTTCACAGTACAATATAATATGCTTTTCTGAGCATAATGTGTATATTTTCAGTACTTGTAGACACTGACCAACTGCATGTTTCATTACAAGGAGAGCAAAATTAGTCCCGTTTAACTGGATTTAGTGCCGAATATTGTTTAAAAATCATTGTGTTAACAGTTTTTGATAGTGTTTTTTTTTAAATGTAGCATTACTGGCGCTTGTTCCAACTGATCAGATGTCTGAAAAAAATAAATATCAGGACATATCGTGTACTGTGAAATTTTTTTGAGGTATCATGATATTGTATTGTTGACATATCGCCCACCTCTACCACAATATACTCAGAAAAGCGCACTGGGATGAAATTTATCACAATAATGATAACGTATCAGCATATCATTCACCCTTAATGTACACCTTGCCATTTGCTGTGTGTAGTTATGAGTACTGCATTTCAGGCGATTTGTGCTTCCATGCTTTGAAAATTCCAGGCTTTGGTTAATACACAAACTCAAAGATCAGTATTTGGCAATTTCATTCAGAATTTTGCATTCCAAATGGTAAACGACGACCACAGATACGCTTCAGCCATATTTCAGTGAGTGATGTAAACATGGAGAGGGCAATGCTGCTACACAGCCGAAGGAGCTTTTTATATAAATGCAGTAAAAATGTAGAAATATTGGTTCAATTCATCATTTCCACTGTGTAAATGCTAAATAACCGGTTTGGCAGACTCTGTCTGAACTCTAATGCTGCGACAGTGAAAGAGGCAAACAATAACAGTAAAGAAGGCATGACTATAAGCGGGGCTGCAATCAGAAATGTGTATGCAATTCGTCCAGTGCTTTATGAAAAACAGTCAGAACTGACCAGAGACTAAACTAGACGGAGGCAATTCCAAGTGTTCACCAACGGACAAGGCAAAGAAGGGGAAGTGGACAGCGTGTCTCTGCACAGTGAACTGGGTCTATTAACCTATTCAGCTTCTACAGCCACTGTAAGTGCATGGCGTTTGTCTGTATGTGTACGTATTTGTGCATTCGTGCATGTGAATATGCATAAGCTGCCTGTCCATAGTTTGGGGACACCTAGCTTTACAAATTGGTTTTCAATCCAGATTTTTGATTTTTGCAATAGTTTAATATATTAAATAGAATTTATCTCTGTTAAAACTGCCAAACTGTTTTAAGGAGAACGCTAATGCTAATTCTGTTAGCTAACATACAGGCACTGGAGAACGCTAACTGCTATTTCTGATGGCTAACAGAAACTTACTTCGGGGAATACTAATTGCTAATTTTGTTAGGTAACAGATGCCTGGCATGAAGAACGATTGCTATTTCTGTGAGGTAACAGACACCTGCCTTAGAGAACGCTAACCGCTGATTCTAACAGTAATGTACCATGGAGAATGCTAATTGCTAAGTCTGTCGGTAACAGACGCCTGGCATAAAGAACCATAACTGCTAATTTTGTGAGGTAACAAACACCTGCCTCAGAAAAACGCTAACTGCTAATTCTAACAGAAACGTACACTGGAGAATGCTAATTGCTAATTCTGTTAGCTAACACACACATGCACTGAAGAACGCTAACTGCTAATTCTGTTAGGTAACAGATGCCTGCCATGGAGAATGCTAACTGCTAATTCCATTAGCTAACAGATACTTGCAATGGAGAATGCCAAATGCTAATTCTGTAAGGTAATAGACGCCTGCCATGAAAAACGATAACTGTTCATTCTGTTAGGTAAGAGATGCCTGCATTGGAGGACACTAATTGCTAATTCTGTTAGCTGACACACATGCACTGGAGGATGCTGTTAATTCTGTTAGCTTACAGATATCTTGAGAATGGTACCTGCTAATTCTGTCAGCTAACAGACGGTTATGTTGGTGAATGCTAACTGCTAATTCTGGTACATCTTGGAGGACCACCCTACCCACCCAGAGAGAACGAGGACTGTTATCATCTCTTGGACTTACGGATGGGGTCGACAGGGCCGGCGCTCAGATAAGGCGAGGTGTCCCCAAACCTGTGACGAGCAGTAAACGTGCCTGTGTGTAGTGTAGTGCGTTACGATTCCGGGTGGTCCTCTGCGCTCTCGTTGGTGCTGTTGGGTCCGTACATAAACGTAAGCAGAAACAGAGCGATGTCGTACGAACACCAGTAGGCAGTGTGAGATGTCACCGCTGACCAATAGCGGCTCTCCACCAGCCCTTCCCTCAGCTCGAAGTCAATCCGTCTGTCCAGCTCCACTGAAACAGCAGGACACAGCGAGAAGTTAATAACATCACAGTCAATTACAGCAATGCAGGCTAATACTGACCAGCTTTAGCAGTTTCACTAACAATCACTGTGTTTGGGATCTCGATTGAACTGTTAAGGACAGCTCTGGTCCTTTCAGCTCCAATTAACCTTGCCAGGCTCCGCCCATAAATGTGTTCTCTTATAACTACAGCTGTGACAAGCTTTTTTACTTTAAAACAAAAGACACGCCATATGTGCTTTTTACATCCTAGAGAAACACATAGTCAAAACCAGTAAGTCAAATAAACAGTTTACATAACTATCAGACAGCAAAATATAAATACAATGCAAATTTAAATTGATATTTGTATGCAAAAGTACAGGCACCCCGGTCAAATTCCATGCTTTGTTGTTTTGATAATATCTAATAATAACAATAATCTACTGTAATAAGCTTGACATTGTTACTACAGGAGAACCTTTTTGGGTGCTATATAGAACCATTTTCGAAAATGTTCTATACTCCAACCTCAGCTCATTCGTCTGAATGGGATTTTTGCCAACGTTTTGTAAAGATCATCAGACAGTAGCTACGAAAGAACTTATTTGTGGGTGGAGCCTGTCAAAGGGAATTTCCAATTTATTTCCGATAAAGAACACTGTTCTAAGTGGGTTCTAAATAAAACAGGACTTTTAGGAGAGAACGTAACTCACAGGTGGAGTTGTCCATGATGGCGGAGGTGGACTGAGACATACTGGCGGCATCTCCTTCTCTCTTCTCTTCTTCCTTCTCCTCCATCTTTTCCTCTGCCTCTGCAGCTCCGCCCTCCTCCACTGTGACCCCGCCCTCCACTTCACTCGCCCCGCCCTCGGAGTCTGACGGCTCTTCCTCGGCTCCGCCCACCTGCCCGCTGGAACGGGAGAACCGGGAAAAGAGGATTCCACCGATGCCTTTACCTATACTCGCCGCTCCTGAGGAACACACACACACACACCTCCTATCAGCTAATAACATACAACCAACAGTTAATAATAATAATAACAATAATAAAGCTAATAACATTCGCGACACTGGATGAGGGAGGAGGCTTTACATCTAATTTCAGAATGAAGTGACGTCTGTTATCAACGGCAACTCCAAATTATGGTACCTAATTGTAGGGTGAATAGTCGTGGATTTCAGTAGTGTTGACATGAACTTGAACTGTCATGAATTAAGAAACAGGGTCAAATCTTAATCCATTTTAGCTGTTAGCCTCATCTTGAAATCACAAAAAAATGAGGAGCTGTTTACTATTAGCTGGTTGTATTACATTACTGAGATCCTGATTTGAACAGGACTGATTCAGCTCCGACAAGGCTTAGAGGTGATTTGATCTGTTTATGATGAGTTTGTTGTGATAAGAAAAATATAATTTATAGAGCCCTAAAGTCTCTAGTTGTCCTGATTGAGCTACAGTAACTGTGTGATGTGTACAGTGTGGAGGTTGTGCTGGTTCTGCTGACCCATGATGCTGGCCTTTCCCAAGCTGGTGATGGACTCTCCGTAGTGTCTGCGGTTCTGTGGGGGGGACGTGCAGGGGCTCGGGAGACTCTCGCTGTCCGACACTGAGGCACTCTCCTTCAGCGGGTTCAGCAGAGTGGGCCGGACATGATTGTATGAAGTGGGACTGCTGGTGTTGTACCTGCAGTACACACACATTAACACATATACACACACATTAATATGCACCCACACACATCTGTTTGTGGTCAGCTTTGAACTTCAGCCATTAGAGCTATAACTGATGTCCTGATATAAAACTGATTTACACTACATAATTTTTTACGTGCAATTCCAAAATTGTTGGCACCCCTCAAAAAAATGTCAATTAAATGACCGTCCGTGGCTGGGAGTCCAAGGCAGCACTTTTGTCCTATCTCTCTCTCTCTGGGTGGGCAGGATGGCCCCCAGTCTCCCCCATCCCTCAGTGTGATGCTAGCTAGCACAGGCATCTGTTCACAGACGTAACAGAACTGGTGGTTAGTGTTCTCCTCCAAGCGTGTTCAGCTGTCCAATAACATTGCGTTAATGGCAGTTTGTGCTTCTAGCTGGAGGTATCACGTGATTGGGGAGGTCTAACTAGTGGGTGGAACTGGATTCGCCTAAATTCAAGAGAAAATTGGGGAGAAAATCAGAAAACATTCTTTCAAAAACATATGGAGCAAAATGATTGTGATCCTTAAAATAAAAAACAAATTTGCATCTTTGTCTTTCTTTTTTATTGCTCCAGGAACTCCACTGTCGCCTATGACCATTTCCTGTTTCCCTCAGGTATAAATATGAGGTTACACACATGTAAAATCCCTTCTGTCACCCATCAACATGAGCAAAACCAAAGAGCTGTCAACTAAACTGAGACAGAAGGCTGTGGAGCTGCACAGATCGGAAAAATAAGTTAGCAGTAAGTTGGAAAAAAAAGCACAATCCTTGCTTTGAGCCTTTCCGAAGAGCTAGACACAAAATGCAGAGGCTGAACTTCACTGGAACTACAAATGGAATCATGTGATCAGAAGTAGGGCTGTCATAATTATTACATTATCAGCAAATGTTTGAGATGATCACAGTTATTTAAGCTGACCGCAATCATTTTCCACAGTCATTAAATTTTACAGTCAAACAAAATGTGAATCAGTAAGTCGGGTTGAGGTGAATAAATGTAAATAAAAGGAAGCAGTAAACGCATTCATTGAGACATCATGGGTCTCCACTGTAAACACAAACAAAATATGACATTTTTAGCATGTATGCTGGCAGAATGAGATCTTTTTTCTGCCCTATGTATTTGTTGAGTATGAGAGCCTAAGGGGCGCACAGGATTTAAAGATAAAAGGATTTTAAGACAAAACGAGAGCATCATTGTGAAGCAAAATGCAGTAATCTTTTTATCTCAATTATCTTGTTTTCATAATTGCTAGAAGCCAAAATCAAAAATAAAATTTAGTGATTATGTGATTAACAGCAACGTTTTTTTCTTTCTCACATGAGAAGCTAATACACGGCTGTGTTGTTGTGGCATTAAGTGGCTTACCAGTGTATCTGGACTGGTGCGATGTTACTGTAGTGTTTTAGGACCAGAGGCTCCAGTCTGTAAGCCTGCAACAAACAAGACAATCTCCTTTAGCTCATATAGCTCCTTTCTTTATTTACTTTTTTCATTTGGCCTCCTCCCCCTTTTTCCTTTTGGTGGCTGGGAGAAAGTAAGAAAATTGAGATCTTTACTTGGTAGAGACCAGGAACAAAAAACCCAGAACTTGAGAGAGAACAATACCAGTACCGGCTTGTTCAACAGAGGTGTGCATGTGGCACTATGAACTCAAGACTGAGCAGAGCTGTGTGTGAGCTCTCCTTAAATATGGAGCTCAACAGCTGAAAACAGTCAGCCTTAATCTGTCCGGTGAAGTTTTCTTCCTCCCCCTAGTGGCTGGGGGTAAAATAGCTCTTCTGATTGATGGAGAATGTGTTGTATATGGTTCTATACAGCACCAAAAAGAGTTCTGCTATTGTTACAATGTCAAGCTTGTAACAATAGAAGAACCCTTCTTGGAGCTTTTCATCTGAATCATCTATAGAACATTCTCCATTAATCTTATGAACCATTTCACCATGCAAAGAACCCATTAATAATGCAAAGGGTTCTGTGAGTGTTCATGCTGCTATATAGAACCACTGTCTTTACTAAAGAACACTTGAAGAACCATCTTTTTTTTAAGTGTGTAGTCTCAAGTTCCAGTCTAAGTCTCTGGTTCAGCTCACCACAGGGTCAGTGGGGTGGAAGATGTTGAAGAGCCGCTGGCAGATGGACCGGGGCAGGATGTGGTCCTGTGTTCCGTTGGTACTCGGCCGGACGCCCCGCAAAGCCAAGAACACAGCCAGAGGAGAACCCATGCAGAAGAAGTTTTCCACCTAGAACCATAATTCAAACATAACATGCAGAAAAACAATGAAAGAGTTTTACTCTCAGGACTGAGGGGAGTTCTAATGCTGCAAACTCGATGGTTCTCAGTTCAATGCATGAGGAAAGATCTGCTCTGAAATGCACAGAGGAACTTTTGTCAGATACTTCAGTTGAACTTGTTCAAACTGATCCAACTGATGAAAGCCAATCAGCCTCAGAACCGAGCAAACACTTCAGGAGAAAAAAGCATCACTTTCCAACTTACCTTAAACTTTAAGGGAGGAGAGGTTCTTGAGGATGAGGTCTTCAGGCCTTGAAACTGATCCTCCAAGTCCCTCAATCTGACAGTAAAACAGTAAAGTGGTTCAGGAGCATTACATAAACTGGATTACGACAACCTGCATACAGTTGTATAGAACAGGGCTTCCTAAACTGTCCCACAGGAAGAGCTGGTGTCCATCCTGAGACCCAGATATTAAGGAAGAAGAAACTTCATGAACAAATTAGAAACTGTTGCTATAAAATCTCAGGCGGTTGCTAAAGTGTTGTTCTGTTATTCCAGGTGGTTGCTAATGTATTACTATGCTGTTGTTCTGTTATCTCAGGTTTGCTATGGTGTTGCTAAGGCATTGCTATGGTATCCCAGGTGGTTGCTAAGATGTTACTAGGCTGTCGCTATGATGTTCCAAGTGGTTGCTAAGGTCTAAGGTGTAGACCTATATACACACACACACACATGCACACTCACACATACACACACAGACAAACACACAATATCTGTGTTAATAATTATCAATCTCTTGCGGCAGTTAGATCTGAATTTTGTCAACATTTTTCCATTCATTTTTTATGGCAAATAAACAACGTTTGAACAAACGCTATAAAAAATATGTACATGCCATCAGTCCCAAAAGCAGAACCTTTTTTTCCATGTGACGACTGTGTTTCGAGGTGGCTGAAATATCTGGTTGGTGGAATGAAGAGTTGTACTGTTTTAGAGAAGTCAAAGAATGTATGCCTACTTATTAAGTTATCGTTTTGTTGCACTAAATATCTTGGAGGTGTTTCTGGGACAGTGTGCAGTTTGCAGCTGTCACTACAGCCGAGTGACGATGAAAGTATGTCAAGAACAGCACTGCCACAAGTGTAAAAAGCACAGAGCTGCAGCAGACATGTGGCTTCATGATCACTGCTTGAAAAAGCTCAGTTGTTAGGGGTTGAAATCTATGCACATAAAATCATAAAATATTTGCAGTTTGTTTTGTATGTATGGACTAAATGGTATGTTTTAAAACTTTAACAATGTTTACGTTACTTTATTTCAAAAAAGCAAAGAAAAAATTGGTTTTCCATGATTTTGTAATTGTAAAAAAAGGTTGTAAATGGTCATGTATAACATTATTATGATTATTATATGTTTTTGTACCATAAACGTACATGTCATAAGTGGAAAGGAAGAAAAAATAAAATAAACCAAAAAAGCAAGATATGAGCCCTTTAAAAGCTCCTTATGGTAGTCACTCACTCAGTGAGGCACATATTAGCTTCAAACGATACGTAAATATGTGTGAGGCAAACTGTGTTTTGCAGCCCTTAACGATCCAATACTAATATCATGATAGCAATAAACGTGTGATTGATAGTGCGATGGGTGTTTGGTACCTCATGCGTGTGTGATAAAGCTCTTCCAGCAGTCGCTGTTCTTCACAGCCTCTACGCCGCAGCTCTGTTTCCATGGCATCAGGGGCTTGCAGGTGATGAAAGCGGACAGGGTCCCACCCAGTCATGATGTCGAATGTGATGACACAGCCCAGAGAGTGGGCCACGATGGACACTTTCCCTTTCTCCTCAAACTCTGGGTTCCGCGAGCAGAACAGCATGTAGAGCCGATTCAGCTCTTTGGTCAGACCTCGAGTGATCTGTAGAAAAACAGCAGAGGAACACGACTAAACGACCGGTCAACCAATTTTTCAAAATTTTCTACATAATTAAACGGTTCAGAGTGGTTTGGTGTCTTATCAAGTTACCAAGTCAGAACTGTTCACAGTGGTGGTGATAGGAGCCAGACGTCCACCTCTAAAAGCTCCCTCACAGAAGGTTGTTACATGAAATGGTTATGAATACACAGACTGATGTCTGAGACACTGTTTTATAATAGTTTTGAGAACTTAAAACTCCATTCATGGTGGAGGGATACATGCAGGGCGCTGTGAGGCAAAATAGTCCCCAAAGAAAACTTATTATTTCAGATTTTCCACTATTTCCCATCATCAACATTCCGTATAAAACTCAGAAGACACTTGTAGGTTCACTGGTCGTTTTGGATAGTAAACAAAAAAAAGTCTATATTTGTGTTGTAGTCATGGCGACCCCTGGTTCCTATCACCACCACTGTTAAGAAATCTGAACCATTTCACACCAAACCACTCTCAGTCACTCTGTTTAAATCTCACACACTCAGTTATTGAGGGATTTTGGAAAATGGGTGGAATTGCCCTTTGAGTACAGAGCAGCCATAGGGTGGCCGTATTATCTGACCTCATCTCTGTACAGGGGGCTGGTGTAATACATGATGTCCATGGCGCTGCTGTTCAGCATATCCCTCAGCCCGCGCACTTTATCTGGCGTGATGGAGTCCACAGTGTCTGCAGCAACAAAACACACTATTCAACTCAACACACACACAACCTGTCTAAACTCTGCAGTGCAATTAACCTGACTACGTTACTTTGGATAAGAGTGTCCGCTAATTGAATAAGTGTAAATGTAAGGCTGGGACGATAGGCAATTTTGACGAATCAGGTCAAAATCAACAATAAATTTACAACAATATGCAACAATAAACAACAAAAAACAACAAATTACAACAAAAAACAATATTTTCATCATTTAAGGCAAAACACTTCAAGGAAAAATAACAATTTTGGCCCTGTCAATTAGTGGTGGGAGATATGGCAAACATTTAATACCTTTATACTTAAAGACTTTTCACAGTTCTCACTGGACTTCGTTCATCAAAGCTGCAAACAGTCAAATCTGATCGTAAAATGAACGTATGCAAGTTTTTCACAGTTTTCACAGTCTTCTTCATCATTCTTTGGCATATCTGTACGATCAAACTCATGCCAAGTAGGAGTCCTTTTGGTTAACTGCATAAAAATCATCTATAATACCAATAAGAATAATAAAAACAGAAACTAATAATAATAATACTAATAATTTGTGCACATGGCAATCCAATACAAGAGTGAATGTACTTAATTTACATGCACACTGATTTAAAGAAATGCATTTAAAGAGACATTACACTGCTTTTGTTTTATACTACTGACTACACCCACAAAATAAAGTTTGTGTTATTTTATTCAACACAATCATATCACTTTGAAGTCTTAAAAAACACTAAGACGTTTTATTTATTTCAAATTTTATTCTTTCCAGTGGCTGTAATTTTGACATTATGAAGTGTGGTCAGGAGAGGGAGCAGTGCACTTACCGCTCCACCTCAGTCTCCACCAACAAGATGCAGAGTGCTGTTGTTTTATTGGTTTCCTATCGAAACCTCTGAATTAGGGCATGCTTCATGTGATATGTAAATGAGTTACTGCTAAGCTGAACCTTGAAGGAAGATTTTTGAGGGAGGCTAAAAACCAGAGACCCTCCACTGCTGCTCTGTTGAACACGGCGCAAGTTCAATAACCCTAACAGTGGAGCACGGGGAAAAACCTAACACGGGGCCCAATTTAACACAGAGGTCAAGTAGTGTGAGCTTCTGGCCGCATTACATTTCTTAGCTGATCACAAAACCAGATTTAGACCAATTATAGAGAGCTAGTAAACAATGACAACAACATGAACAATTGTTCCCTCTTAGTTTCCTTAAATGAAAAAAAAACCCTTTTTTTATGTAGCCCTGCTGTTTGGTGCTATGTTTGTCCATATTGAAATACATATTGAGACAGCATTGGTTCATGTTGTGAATGACCTCAGGCTCAGCACTGATGCACAAAAATCTTCCATCCTGGTCTTACTGGATCTTTTGATACTGTTGATCACAAGATTCTAATACACTGCTTTGAATTCTGGGAAGTAGGTGGTTTTAGAATGGTTCAAATCATACCTAGTTAATAGACAGTTCATGGTTTCTCTGGGAAACAATTTGTCGAAGACATTTAACATTTCTTATAGAGTCCCACAGGGCTCAGTTTTAGGGTCTTTGTTCTTTAGGGTCTTTGTTCTTTGTTTCTCTTTGTACGTGCTACCTCTAGGTGATGTCATTAGGAAACCTATCAATTTTCATAGCAGACACACAATTATACATTTCTATTCCTTCTGATAATCAAGACTTTGACAGGCTGACAAGCTTTGTGTCAGAAAAACTAAATCATGAAAAAAACTGAAATGCTGATCTTTGGTACTGAAATTCAGAGAAAGCTGCTTTATGAGAATCAGTTCACTTGTTATTAGACAGTCAAGCACAGAGCTCACCTTTTAATGAACAGCTAAAAACGCAGCTCTTTAACTCAGTGCTTCTGCTACTTTATCGTTTTAATCTGATCTCTATTATTGTCTTATATGATTTTAAATTAAAATTCATGATCTCTTATATCACTGTTAAGCTTTATCATTATCTGTCTATAAAACACTTTGAGCTACCATTGATAAAAAAGTGCTCTATAAATATTATTATTTTTATCATCGTGTAATGATATTCTTGCCATCTCACTGAGCTATAATCCTGTTTACTCTGGTGTCCTGCTGGGTGGACACACCTCCGTCCAGAGAGAGTTTAGATCTCCACTCCACAGGAAGGAACTCCACATGCTCTGTAGTTCTGTCAGAGAAATGCTTCTCCTCCATCTTCCTCGCAGCATCACGCATCCTGTACACACACACACACACACACACACACGCAACCATCAGATTTAATAAACACAGCACGTGCAGAGTTTGCTCTGCTCTACAGCAGTTATAATAACAACAATAATAATAATCATAATAACAATTTTGTACATTATATTCCATCACCTCTTTTACATTTTGTGTTCTGGTGTGTTTGTGCATTTACGTCAACAGATACTGTCATGTGATTGTAAAGCTGCTATATAAATTATTATTATTATTATTATTATTATTATTATTACTACAGTTTAAATAAAGTAAAAAAACAGAAAGCATTTAAAAAAAACAAATATAAGAGAAAGAAAAGACAATAAAAAAAATATAAAGACTGTACAGTCATCCATATAAAACAGAAATACACTGGCATGTATTTTTACGTTGCGATAAAACATTTCAAATATATAATTTTTTTAGTCCAAAATGTATTTCATGTACTGGGTGTTGTGGGCAAAAATTATATATCAGTTTAATTAAGATTACTCATGGTTTCTATCATGGTAAAGTGTACGTTTGTATATTTGTTTCCAAATAAAACCATTTTGAATACCAATGGTGTATTGTTCTGAACAAAACTTCATTTTCAATAAGTTGTGTTATCTGCGTTTATTTGCATACCGGCATAACAATAATGACAAAACTAACATCTTAAAAAGAATCTCAACCTGATGAACTGGTACATCACCCACTACTGTTTCAAACACTAAAGTGCTTTAAACAAAAATATCTTTGTTTGGCCATTTATAAATATTTGTATAACAAATGTATTTATTAAAAACACTACACATTTATTTACTTTTCATATGAAGAATACAAAAGTTAGAACACCACCAGTCAAATGAGATGGTTTGTTAATTTTCTAAGTGAAAAGGGAACACATCCTCTACAGAGAAAAAACTAAATTCATTTGATTTATAATTACATAACATAAAATATAAAGCGTGCCATCACTTTCGCACAGGCCACATTTTATGTTTTACCTTTTTCCCCAATATGTTAAATTCAGTAAATAAACAGTAATTGTGCATTAAAATGTGCAGATGTGGAGGAGGTGTTCACTTTTTTCACTTAGAAAATCGACAGACTCATGGGATTTGACCGGGGGTGCACAAACTTTTGCACACGACTGGATATAAAATAATCAAAACAACAATATATGAGCAAAAACAGCAAGTGCTAATAAAACGCTAAGCTAATGCTCACATGCTGGTGTTCCTGATGATCCGCCCTTGATCCATCTTCTGACCAATCCCGTGCACCACAAACACGATGTGCGTGGCTGCAGGGGGCGTGTCCTCAGGGGCTGCCTCCTCTACATAGCCTCGATGCAGGCGGGTCCCACTGCTGGAGGCTAAACACACACACACACACACACACACATTGACAAGTTCTAGTTCTCACAGTTTTGAACTGCTGTAGGCTCAGTGGGCGGGGCTAAACTGCTGTAGACTGAATGGGTGGAGCTAAACTGCTGTAGGTTGAATGAGTGAAGCTAAACTGCTGCAGGCTGAATGGGTGGGGCTGAACCGCTATAGACTGAATGGATGACGCTAAACCGCTACAGGCTGAATGGGTGGGGCTAAACAGCTTTAAATCGTGTTTGTAGTTTAGTTTCCATGCATGGACAGTCTGCACTGAGGATGTATAAACAATGTTGACGTTCTTTATCATGAACTATTTGTACTAAGAACCGAACAATGTTTAACTACCAGATCCTTTATTTATACATTACTATCGTTGTATAAACAGAAACGCAGCGCATCTGACCTTTGGAGAAGCCAAGTTTCTGAGTGACTGTGCGGGCGATTTTGGAGGTGGTGGCATCGCTGTACAGGTAAACCTCGTCCACACTGTGCCAGTCCACATGACTGCGGCTTAGCTTCAGACTGTGGATGGCTGAGAGAGAGAGAGAGAGAGAGAGAGAGAGAGAGAGAGAGAGAAAGAGAGAGAGAGAGAGAGTGTTCCATTACAATCAATAATATTATCTTTCTCTTATTTATGTTCATGTGTCTCTTGTTAACTGCTTTGGCAATAGTATATTTTATTATATTCATGTCAATAAAGCACTGTTGAAACTGAAATTGACAATTGAGAAAAAATTATAACTTATTCATAGACAGGGAGAGAGAGAGATAGAGCGGGAGAGAGAGACAGAGAGAGAGAGAAAAACATAGAAGGATAGAGAAAGGAAGTGATGGAGAGAATTATAAATTAACAGGGAAAGAGAGATAGCGAGGGAGGGAGAGAGAGAGAGATGGTTGTTGTTGTTGTTATTATTATTGTTATTATTTTAACACCTGTTATATCTGTTCTTGCTTTATTTCTGTTATTGCTTGTTGTACTTTGTTCTTAATCTTCCTACAAAAGCTTTGGCAATACAAGTGTTACTATTTGTCATGCCAATAAAGCAACATTGAATTGAACTGAATTGAATTAATGAAGAGAGAGAGAGAGAGAGAGGGAGAGACAGACCAATATATATATTAGAGAGAGAGATAGAGAGAGATGAGGATGTTGGCTTATGTTCCCTGTCAAAACTCATTGATCTGTTTATGTATTAATGTCTTATTTAACCGCAATCGGGCAGTGAGATCTTCAGTCTTCTCGTTACAGTAAACATCAGAATCAAACAAGACTGCCACAGAGAAAGAGACATAAACAGAGTGTACGGTACAGCTGACCTCAGCTCTAACTGACCCACACTGTGCTGGTGACCTTTCAAAACTAAGGAGATGGTTGTTGACTTCTGAAGAGTGCGAGGTGACCACCCCCCACTTAACATCACTGGCTCTGCAGAGGAAATCGTCCAGAGCACCAAGTTCCTCGGTGTCCACATCACAGAGAACCTCACCTGGTCCCTTAACACCAACTCCATAGCCAAGAGAGCCCAGCAGCGGCTCTACTTCCTGCGGAGACTGAAGAAAGCTCACCTCCCCCCTCCCAGAGGGGGACTGTGGAGAGCATCCTGAGCAGCTGCATCATCGCCTGGTTTGGGAACTGCACTGCCTACGACCGCAAGACCCTACAGCGCATAGTGAGGTCAGCTGAGAAGATCATCAGGGTCTCTCTCCCCTCCATCATGGACATCTACACCACACGCTGCATCCGCAAAGCCACCAGCATTGTGAATGACCCCATCCATCTCTCACACAGACTTTTTTCACTGCTGCCGTCTGGCAGAAAGTACCGGAGCATCCGTGCCATCACTGCCAAACTCTGCAACAGCTTTGTCCCTCAAGCAATCAGGTTTTTAAACTCACAAGAACTGAACTAAATCCCCCCCCCTACACACACACACCTCTTTTGATGCTCTACTTGCACTATCTATCTGGAACATTGCTGTGTTTACACTGTTTTTACTACCTCAGTAACTGTTTTACTACCTCAGTAATTGTTTTAATTGTTTTACTACCTCAGTAACTGCTGTGTATATGTATGTTATCTGACGTAACTTACAGATCACATCATGTTAAATATGTCTGCACCTTATTCCACTACCTCATGTCCAGAAATCTGTGCTGTGTCGGTGCTGCACTGTCCAGTCTGTTCCGTGTCTAATGTCTGTTTAATTTATCATATTTATTGTGTTGTTTCTAGCTTAATTTTTGTTTGCACACTGTCTGCACGTTCGCACTCTGTAATTTTGTACTTTTTGTTCCTTGTTGCACCGTGTTGTTCCTGGAGGAACGTAATTTCGCTCCACTGTGTACTTGTACATATATGGAACGACAATAAAAGCCTCTTGACTTGACTTGACTTGACCTCTGTTCACAGCCTTCGCTCTCGCTCACCATCCTTGCTGTCCACTGCCGTGGTCACTGCCTCCGTTTCAAACGTGTCCTTCATCTGGTGGCCTCGGAAGCAGGCCAGGTGTTCCAGTTCGATCAGGTCGCTGTCCTCCTCCTCCAGTGGCAGCCACGTTCCATCAGTGAACCACTGACCACGCATCACTGGGATTCGCTCCTGCTCTGTAACAGACCACAACAGAACCGTCCAGGCGGTGGTTTTACCCATGGTTCTTTTGATAAGAAAACTACACAGTAAAAAAAAAAGCAGCACCAGAAAAATAAAAGTACTGATGCCTTTGCCTAATCCTAACCCTCACCTTAACCTCAACCCAAAACCTAATCCTAACCCTCACCTTAACCTCAACCCAAAACCTAGTCCTAACCCTAATATATTTTGACATTACTGAGTCTGTTGAGTGTTTGTTTCATCTAAAAGGACCACTCAAAATAAAGTGTCACTGAAATGTTGAATACAAATAATTTAATTCATAGTTTTTGATAGCAAAAAAATCTGAAGAACCATTTGACCATGCAAAGAACCATTTAAGCATGCAGATGATGTTCATGGTTCCATATAGCGCCATTATTTTTTTTACCAAAGAGCCCTTGAAAAAACACCTTTGTTATTAAGAGTGAGGGCATATTGTCACCTCTCTGTACTTTATGCATGTATTATCAAACAAAATTAAAAAAGAAAAAATGCAAATACTTGTGCATGATGTCACTAATCACATCACGTATATACTGCTTAAAATTTCAGCACCCCAGCTTAAAAACCACATCCCTGCTATCATTTAAAGGGTAATTTCACCCATTTTTCAAAATGCATGCACAATTCATGCACTGAGATGAAAACAAAATCATCCAGAGTGGTTTGATTTAACATGGTTCATTATAGAAAACCTTACTCCAATTCCTTTACAGTGGTGGTGATAGGAACCAGGGGTCGCCATGACTACAACACAAATATGGACATTTTATTTAAGATCCAAAACCACCAGTGAACCTACACGTGTCTTCTGAGTTTTGTATGGAATGTTGATGATGGGAAAATAGTGGAAAATTTGAAATATTAAATTGTCTTTAGGCACTATTTTGCCTCACAGCGCCCTGCATGTATCCCTCCACCATGAATGGATTTTAAGTTCTCAAAATGATCATGAAACAATGTCTCAGACATCAGGCAGTGAATTCATGACCATTTCATGTAGTAACTTTCTGTGAGGGAGCTTTTAGAGGTGGATGCCTGGTTCAGACTCTGTATGTTTCTCTAGAATGGAGCATTTCACACCAAACCACTCTGACTGAATCTGTTTACATCTATTTAACCATGCAGAAATTTTGATAAATCAGTTCCCCTTTAACCACCAACAGGATGTTTCTACTTATTAGTAAAAAAAAATATAATATTAATGGTAATTTGGCCTAATTACTACATGAAGTTACTAAACTGCCCTTTAAGTCAGTGTGATTACTAAAGAAAACATGTTCGTTTGCATTAAAACCGCCCTGAAAAGCTCAGCTGGGCCTAATCCTGCAGTACTTACGGTTCCAGTAGACCGGGTAACACTCCTTTTCCTTCACGTCCACCTCGTACAGTCCACCTCGAACGCACACCGCCTCTACGCTGATGCTTATCGAGTCCACGTCAATCTCCTCCGCCATGTCTTTGCTGACCAAAGCCTCCGTCTGCCCCTTCCCCCCCTCTGCCCCCTCAGACTCACCCCCCAGCTCTTCCCACTCCTCCTGCTCAGCGGCTTTACTCGGATTGAGCTCGCAGAGTTTCCGGTATGCCACCTCTATCTTCAGAGAGTCGTGACCTACAAAGGGTTTCCATGTGCGTTTGTCCTCCTTATAGAACCAGCGCACCTCCTCCGGCCCCAGCTCCGTCACCACCTCCCCCCCGCGGTGCCTGGAGCTTCCCGCCCGGCTGCGTCGGGTGCCGTACTCCACCAGGTCCAGGTAATCCGAGCCTGGTTCTGATCCTTGGTAACCTGGGTCAGCGTCCTGGGAGCAGGAAGGGACAATGTGATGATGTGTTATCATTATCAAGATCAATTACAATCTTTTTATTAATAATAATAATAGTAATAATAATAATAATAATAATATCTTTATTTATAGAGCACTTTTTTATTTATATCAGCACTTTTATAGCACTGAACAACTGCATATATCACATTTACACACACTTGGATCATTTCAGACTCTTGTTTATCCTATGTGAAATTTTAATTTTAAACGTTTAATTAACGTTTATTCAAAGCAATATATAATCGAGTAGAATGATGCTGGATTACTGCACTAAAATATCTGCATTTTATTAAATTTACTGTAGTAACTACACAAATGTTATACGTCTCTGTGATGCTAATCAAGGATTAACAGCAGTTATATACAGTTGTGAGCAAGTTTGTGCACTAGTGATTAATTTACTTGTTTTTCTGATTGTCTCTGTGGAAATAAGTTAACACATCCTCTACAGAGGACGCTTCTGCACATTTTAATGCACATAAACAGAAAATAAATGTACTAAAATGTGCAGGAAAATATTATATTTAAAACAACATGATGTAGCAGTTCAGCTTAAAATAACAGCTTCTAAATCATGTCGATGCTACACTGAGTGCACTCCAGGCCAGAACGCCTGCTATAGCAATATGTAACTTTGGAGGAGCGGCACGAGAACTCTCACCACAACTGTGTAACTAGCTGTAACTGTGAGAACGAGCTATAAGAAGAAGCTTGCTCGGTACAGAGCCAGTTTATGAGGAGCCTGGCCACTTCCTATTTCGCCGTTATATCAAAAACATGACTGAAAAATGCCAGAGGGCATCCGTGAGCGAGTCCTCAATGAATGAGAGTAAATGGAGCTCAATGGCTAAAAAAGTTAAGAGTTTCTAATCACTTGTCCAGAACTTTTCTTTAATTTTAGAAAGCAGAAGGATGTATTTAACTAAAAAAAAAGCAAAGAAAACTTGCATGTTTCCTTTTTTCTACAGCAAACGGGCTTTTGGGCAGCAGGATGGTAACAGTACTGCTACTGAGTGCTGATTCGTTAGCATTACAGCTAGTGAGTGCTAATTGGCTGGTGAGCGGAGCAGCTCATTGGCTGTTCACGCTCACAGATGTCATGGATGTACCTGAGGCACCATTATAAACTGCTACTGCTAGTGCTAAACTCAAGTTTAAAAGCTCTTAGAAATATAACAGCAGTGTTACAATGTTTATGCTATTCAGTGTTGGAAATGAGTGTATTCTTTTACATTAAATGTATAAAATGTACATTCATGTTTAAGCATTTATAAACTATGATTTTGCTCAATGCTCTATCTTAACCCATTCATTTTGGATTATGAAGACCTTACAGAGTGGTTATTCTCCTTTCTACAAGTTCTTGGTAATCCCAGAGACTGAAGAGAACGCTGTCCGAGGAAGCGAGCATCAGTGACCACAAACAGCAAATAATGTGCTCCACTCACCAATCAGCACTCAGCAGCAGTAATGCTAACCAATCAGCACTCAGTAGTTGTAATGCTAACCAATCAGTGCTCAGTAACAGTAATGCTAAACAATCAGCACTTGGTAGTAGTAATACTAACGAATCAGTGCTTACTAGCACGCTGTATCCGTCATTTCAAATTAAAAGCTCTACTTTCATAAAATTCTGATGCAGTGGAGGGAATAATTGCAAAATATAGAGACATTTTTGGAACAGGAAGCTGCAGTGTGTGCTTCACTACTGGACAGAAAACTAAGGAAAAGTGCAAGTGACGTGCACACACTCGATGAAAACAACGCCATTATTGCTGAAGAAATGATCGAGCTACTCGGACCAGTGTGAGCCGCCACCGCCATCATGTGTGAGGCAGAGCAGCCCACTCAGGACGTCTCCAGCACCAGCAAAATTTCAGCTGACCCCTCTCATCCTGGACATCACCTCTTCCAGACACTCTGCTCTAGTAGAAGGTTCAGGAACATCAAAACCAGCACAGCCAGACATACTAACGTCTCTGACTTTACATCTACAAGGTGGACCAAGAAGATAGGAGTGTCCAGCAGCACTGCTGTGTCTGATCCACTCGCACCAGTGCAACACAATCTAACACACCACCACCACATCAGTGTCACAGCAGTGCTGAGAATGACCCACCACCCAAATAATACCTGCTCTGTGGGGATCCTGTGGGGTTCCTGACCATTGAAGAACAAGGTAACAAAGTATGCAGAGAAACAGATGGACTACAGTCTGTAACTGTAGAAGTACAAAGCAGGGCTGGGCGATACGGCAAAAATGCAATATCACAAACAGGACTTATTTTGCTCTCTTTATAATGAAACATGCAGTTGGTCAGTGTCTACAATTACTGATGATATACACAATATGATCAGAAAAGCATATTGTACTCTAATGTCACATAATTTATCATGATACCAATATATATAATCATATTGCCCAACCCTAAAATATCAGCATAGGCCTGCAATTCACACAGGCTGTCTTTTTAATAAAACATGCAGTTGTTTTTTAAGTACTGATGAAATCCATGATACGATCAGAAAAGCATACTTTACTGTACTGTGACATAATTTATGACAATAGCGATATATGTTGTCATATTGCCCAGCTATAACTATAACTCCACCGAGCATATAGGAGAACCACAGAGTGCTCCTATATGGTCAGTGGAGCTAATAAAATGGACAGTGAGTGTAGATACAAGGAGGTGTCTGGTTAGTGTAGATCATAGAATTTTACACATATTGCAAAGCAATATTTTTGCCGTGTCTTCCACTCTTACCTGGTAGTCTGGATTAGCTGTCTGGTAGTCTGGATTAGCTGTCTGGTAGTCTGGATTGGAGCTCTGGTAGTGCTGGTATGAATCCTCCATGAGGCCCAGCAGCAGTCCGTCCTGAAGCCCCACATGGTTCCCCCACCCAGCCCTGCCTCCATCAGCCTCCTCCTCCTGCACACACGGCTCCTTAAACCCGCTCATCTCCGCCTGTGTGTGAGATATGATGAAGCAGCAGAACTGGTTTGTTTGTAGATGATGTTAAGGTGGATCCTCTTCAGCCACCCAGTCCGAGCTGCATCCGCTCCATCTGCACCAGCAGCAGCGCCGCTAACCAGTAAAGCAGCACCAGCAATAAACTACCTGATCTCCTTCATCATCCTACAACCCGCAGTCCGGCCTGCTGCCGAACAGCCTTCCTCAGCGGACTCTCTCCGGGCTCTTCCTCCGCTCTGTCTCTTCCTCCACAGCAGCAGCTTTACGGCCAAATCGCGTTTTCAAAGGCTCCGATTGAGCGAACGGGCCGCCGTAGCTTCAGTAAGCGGAAGTGAGTGTGTTGTGGTGGGTTTGTTGTGACAGCGCCGAGTTAATTTCCACATTTTTCTCTTTTAAACTGTTTAAAATTTCAGTCCTCACGCATCTCACGTTAGAGTGTTTTTGGGAATGGCCGCGGAGTTCCTGGTCAAGCTGTATGAATATTCTCCTGTTTTCTACATCAGCGTCATTTCAGTCTGCTTCATCATCACCGCAGCGGCTCTGCTGGGCTATGGGTAATGATTATTATTAAATAAAAATAAAATAAATAATAACACACCACAGTACCGCAGTGCTGGGCTATGGGTAATGATTATTATTAAATAAAAATAAAATAAATAATAACACACCACAGTACCGCAGTGCTGGGCTATGGGTAATGATTATTATTAAATAAAAATAAAATAAATAATAACACACCACAGTACAGCAGTGCTGGGCTATGGGTAATGATTATTATTAAATAAAAATAAAATAAATAATAACACACCACAGTACAGTAGTGCTGGGCTATGGTAATGTTTATTGTTAGCTAAATAAAAATTAAATAAATAATAATACGCTATAGCACCGCAGTGGGTACTGTTTATTATTAAATAAAAAATAAAATAAATAATGATATACTACAGTACTGCAGTGTTTTGCTGGTAAGATTAATAATAATTAAATAAAAACAAAAATATTGCATTACAGCAGTTTTTTGGCTGGTAGGGTATTATAGAATTGTAATATTGTTGGTGTATTATTATTGTAATAATACTGGTTCTCTCTGTAAAAGCAGAACTTTGGCTGAGGTTCTAGCAGTAATTGGTTTGTGTGCTCTGCCTCCAGGTTTGGCTTTGATGTCCCGGTGATCCTGCACAGCTCTGATGAAGCGGAATCTTTCTCCTCTGTTCCAGAGAAGAGGATGGTGCAGGTTACCAATCCCTTCGCTCTGGAGATGGGCACAACAGCGGGCACAGTAGCGGGTAAGACAGCAGGGATGCAATAATGCACATACGTTTGAGTTTGAGCTTGAGGTGTTCTCTTATTTTTTACTATTGTATTTGACTTTATAAGCACAGGTTCTGGAATCTATTAGTTCTTCAGAATAAAAGCACAGTAATTTGAGTGTGGGTGTGTCCGTAGTGTAATATTGGTTTGTAATATTATTGGTACTTATATAAGGTGACAAGATTTCTAAAATGGAAACCAAGTACACTTCCAGTTCAGCTGTCAATATATCATTAAAGTATCCGATGCTTTTATCTATGACATAAAAAGAGGTGCTTTAACCCCTGGGTCAGCTCGTGTCTTGAAAAGACTTGTGGTGAAGTTGTTAACTCACTGGACACTTGTGAGCTTCTGGTGGAGTTTTACACAGCAGTGTTCTGTAAAACTAGGCAAGCAAGTGGTAGAAGTGGTCAGTAAATAGCAGCAGCAGCCCCCTCCGCTGGCCGAAACAAGCACAACGCAAGACGTCTGCCCGTCTGCTCTGCTACAGGTCTTTCTCAGAACTTTTGACTGTGTTTTTAACTCACAGTACAATAATGCTAAATTCCACTGTAAGAGATGCAGTGTTGTGTTAGCGGCAAGCTAACAGTGCCATGCGTTCACTTTCACTAGCTATTTTTAAAAGCTGAAAAAACAATGAAAACTTAGTCCTAATCCATTATTTATGTACATTTGGCCTTACTGTCTCTTTTTTTTTGCCAGATTTTACCATTATTACCCGTGTTTTGGTTCTGTTCTGTTTGTATTTACTGCTAATTGCATGCTAATAGGATGAGCGTTATCCACCCATTATCACAGCCACTTTTATCATCACATTCTGATCAGGTTTACACTCTAAAACAGATAAATAAATGGCTTGCTGATCGTGTTTACTGCGTGCTCGCAGATGGAGTGGGTTTGCGGCCGTACTGTCTGGAGGACTGCATGCTGAGCTGTTTTTGGGGCTGTGAAGTTCAGGCTCTTCAGACTGCGCTGCAGAAACACCAGCACGGACCCAGACTGTCCACACCGCACTCATTCCAGGAGGCCCTGCAGTTTCACTACCTCCACTGCCAGACCTTTCAGTATCCTTTCAGTCTTAAAGAGCTTGTATCATTGAAAAATATTCACTTTTTATTCCTTAAAAGTTCCATGTAAACTATGATAAAGTTTCAAAGCATACTCCTAAGACCAAACAGCCCTGACCAAACAGCCCAATTTGAATTGTGATGTCACAAAAACCAACACATTAACTGGACCATAAATAATCAATAAACAGTAAACTCCAAGCAGTTTTACCTTAACTGTTATCTCAGTGTACAGAAGGAGGAGAGGGAGGAGTGCTTTACTGAGCTGCCGGTGGATGTCGGGGTGTGGGATTTTGGGTCTGTCCCGCGGGATCGTTATCCGTTAGTGGCTGTTTTAACTTTGGCTAATGCTGAGCACAGAGACTCTTACAATATAGTGAGTAAACACATTTAATTATATAATATACTGGAACAGCGAGTATCATTTAAAAGACAAACTGTATTCATGATGTGTGTTATTTTATGTTTGATAACTTACACAAGATTGAAATATTTTAAATTCCACACCAGAAGGTATTTTTGATAAAAAATGTAATTTAATTCAGTGTTTCAAGATATATAATATACTGTAAACTAGAAGGGAACGTTTGTGAACAAACTTTAAGTTGGCTTGACAAAGCCATAGCCATGTTATCTCAGATGGTTGCTAACGTGTTGCTAGGCCATTACTATGTTATTCCAGGTGGTTGCTAAGGTGTTGCTAGGCCGTAGCTATGGTATCCCAGGTGGTTGCTAACATGTGTGTATATACACAGCACCACTGTTCCCGCCCTTACCGGTACATCACAAAACGCCGCTTCTTTTAAAGTTCTTTAAAGACGGAGCCAGAAACTTTGATTTTAGTTATTTATTTTTTCATTTATTAGAGCTGGAGATGCTTCACTGTCAGCGCCTGCACTTTAGCGTAATTTTTGACTCAGACCACATTGGCTTTTTTTTTTTTAATTTGTATTGTTCGCTTTTTGACTCAGTTTAAACCCAATATTACATTTTAAAGTGAACCCCTCAGCCACTGTTTCCTCCTCTGCTGACACACAATGAAAACAGGATATGTTGGCTGGCGAAAGATCCACCCATTGGATCCTTCGTTGCCATGGAAAAGAAGGACACATTTCTCGGCCGCATATGAAGGAGCCTTCAAAATGGGACAGCCTAGTCGCGCCGCTGTGACGCATTCAGCCTTCAAATGCAGACTCCGAAGGACGGAGCCCCTGAATTGGGACACATCTTGTGTGTATGAGGGGCTGTTGGGAGATTCTGACATCATTTGTTGCTATGCTATTCCAGTTGGTTGCTAAGGTGTTGCTTGGCTATGCTACAGTGTCCCAGATGGTTGCCAAGTTTGTTAAGTAACTTAATTACAGTAATTATCTGTTTGCAGTCATTTTTGTCAAGACATGTGCCTTGAAAGCGCTTGAAATATGTCACTCATATTCATTTTATATCAAAGCTCTCCTCTGATTCTGCAGGTCGCCAGTGTAACGGTGGTCCATGTTCCTGATGATAAATACAGGCTGTCTGCGAGGATTCTGTTTCAGTTTCTGCTCACGGCTCAGGGGAACATGTATGATTTAAAGGTGAAGTCTGACCTTGTACGCCTCAATCAGCTCACAGCTGCTTTCATTTAATCAATTTAATCACAGTTTGACCTCTGTGTGTCCCCGTAGTAATCTTATAAGGCTGTAATTAATCATGTACTGTTAAAGGAGTAGTTCACCAACTAATGGCATTTATCCAGTTTCCCCCCTCCTTTCTCCAAATGAAGTTCGGTGTCTGAAGTTTTCTTCTCTAGTTTAAGCACTGGAGCTAGAAGGCTAATATCGCTAACAAGTAATGGAAGCTTATACTCCAACAGTGCTAACCGCATGCTTGAAACATTACTTATCTCAAACCATGAGTTGTTCAGTGATCTCTAGTAGACTTGATCATGGACTAAAGTACGTTAGCATAGCTAAAACAGTATACATGTCAAACCTCATTAATGTAAAAATAAAACAATAAAAAAATAATGCTAATTTCTGTTAGCGCCCATATGGGATATCTAGTATATGTTAGCGCTAAGCTAACGGTGAGTCCCATAAATATTTTTTTCTGTTCTAGATTAAACACAGACATTTGAAGCTTGTAATTGATATTCCATATGTTTCATTTGAAGCTTGTAACAGACATTATCATATATCCAATCTTGTATAAATCAGTTTTACTCTTTCAGAAAAGAGTCTTGCCATAGAGCCGCAGTTTTCCTTTCCTAACAACCAACCAGAACACTGCTTAGACTACAGCTCATATTCACAGTCAGTGACATATCTAGAACCTCCAGTAGGACTAGAGTGATGTTTTTGGTCTCTATTGTAAATTAAAGCATGAGTGGTTGGTTCCTCAGTCACTTCCTAATTATGCTGGTAGTTAATCTAGAGTGTAAGGCCTTCAGTCCAGCTCCTGAAGTCCTAACAAATGGGAGAGGTTGCTCAGCTGTGTCTACCTAGATATCACAGAGAGAACAGTCCTGATTGGGCGTTTCAAGCAATGAAGCTTGAATTTTGTCCATGCTGAACAACTCCAGAGATTAAGTTAGCAGCATGCTAATTGGTGTACATAAGCTTCCATTATTTGTTCGTTACATTAGCCACTATTAGATACACCTATCAGTATACATCAGTCTCAATAAGGGAATAATAAATAAATAGAAAAGAAAGCAAGGCAAGCTGTTTGCAAAATGCTAATTGGTGGGGTGTAAACTCCCGTTACTTGTTAGCTACACTGGCATTAGCCTTGTAGCTTCAGTGCTAAAACTAAAGAAGGAAACTAAAGAAGGAGACTCCAGACATTGTAGTCAATTGGTTGATTGACTACATTCATATTAAAGAGCATACTGTGTAAATCTGATTATTCACTGAACTATCGCTTTAATTCTGTGTAGAGAATATGACTGAAATCTGTGTCTGCTGTTTCTCCTGCAGCCTCTCTTCATGTCGACAGATAACAGCGAGCAGTCTGGATCCTCCATGGCAGACCTTGGGCCACAGTCTAAACCACCTGAAGAGGAAGGGGAGGAGCCAGAGGAGGAAGAGGAGGAGCCAGGAGTGCCAGGCAGAGACTGTGTTGTGTGTCAGAACGCACCAGTGAACAGAGTGCTGTTACCATGCCGACACACGTGCGTTTGTGACAGGTGCGTGACGCGGTTTCAGCACTGTCCGATGTGCCGGGCTTTTGTGGTGGAGTCCTTCGCTTTGGCCAATCAAACACTTCCTGAAGGTGAAGTGGAGGAGTGAATTACGTTATATACTACGTTATATATAATCGATATCAGTGTTAGTGTTAAAGGAATACTTCAGTGTTTTTTATTTCTATCTGCTACATCTGCAGTGTACAGTCTATTATGATGGATAGTTATTCCCCTGTAGATGGTAAAGAATACAAAACCCACTGACTCACAAAAACCCATTGAAACTTTATAATAGAAGTCAATGGACAGATGCTCTGAAATATTAAAGGGACACTTCAGCCTTGTCCAACCTATCTGTCCAACCTATCTGTAGCACACAGTTCATCACCACAGACAATAACTAAATTGTACTTGGAAAAGAACAGAAAATGCATCATCTAAAACACAGTTATAGTGGAATGGCAGCTCACCTGAAGTGTTAAAGGGATACTTCAGAATTTTCCAATCTAATCTCTATCTACTACATCTGAAGTACATATGATTTTATGATTTAAGAATTGCCATGTTCTTATAAAGGAACAAAAAACTTTTATAATGGAAGTCAAAGGGCAGATGCTCTGAAGTGTTACAAGAACATTTTAGTACATTTAAACCTAATTTATATCTGCTGTATCTGTAGCTTATAGCTGATTACCAGACAATGATTTCCCTGAACTTATAAACATAAATAAAATAAAGTAACTTATTATAACTGTGTTATAATAGAAGTCAGTGGGCAGATGCTCTAAAATATTAAAGGGACACTTCAGTCTTGTGTGTAGCAGATAGACTTTAATGTAAAATCGCTACAATCATTCATTAAAGGAGCTGATTCCTTTATTTATTTATTTTTTTTGAGTGATTGAAGGGCATTTTGTAGCACCTTAAAGGAAATGCAGACAGTGAACTCCGTGGTTGACTAAGAAGGACATTTCAGAAATTCATGTTACATATTCAGATTGTAAAATATGTAGATAGTATGGATTTTTATTTTCTTATGTGTTTTTTTAATATGTAAAATGGTTTAAAAGTGTTAATTAATCATACCTAAATTAATATGTATGTACATATGTATTTTATTGTATTACTAACTGCTGAGGCAAGAGGAGCTACTGCATGTTTTCATGTTTATGTTTTCTTGCTGGAAAACGTTTTGGATGAGACGCTTCAAGTCAGAAACTAATTAAAATCAAAGATAGTGTTAAAAAACGGTTCAGTTAGAGGTGGGTGATACGGCAAAAATCTAATATCTTGATACTTCAGGAAATTTTCACGATACACAATATTTGTTTCAGACATCTGATCAGTTGGATAAGAGGAAAAAGAGCCAATAGTGCTGCATCCTAAAATTGCTAACAAAAACTGTAAACACAACTATTTTTGTTCAATATTTGGCACTAAATCCAGTTAAACAGGACTAATGTTGCTCTCTTTATAATGAAACATGCAATTGGTCAGTGTCTGCAAGTACTGACGATATACACAATATGTTCAGAAAAGCATTGTTCAAACCATTGTATTCTATTTTACTGCGACATAATCACAATAATGATATATATATATATATATATATATATATATAGATATATATAATGTGTGTGTGTGTGTGTGTCATATTGCCCAGCTCTAGGTTCAGTCTACTGTAAAAACTGCTGTATATACTCACTGTACCATACTGATTCCATAGAAAAAAATAAAAATAAATTCTGGACTTTTGATTAATGTGCTTAGTTTATAATAAGGCTGGGCCTTCTTAAAAAGGACTTATTCATCTTTGTTATTTTATCATAATTCAAATTTACATGATTTCTTTTTTTGTTACTGTGCCTTTAAGACTGATATGAGCTGCCCTGTATTGAACTTCATTCAGGAAGCAGTCCAGGCTAAAAGACCCTGACTTCAGTGTTAGTGGGCAGGGCTAAACTGCTGTAGGCTGAACTGGATGTTAAGGTTTTTGTGACATCACAAAGATAAATTCAAAATGTGCTGTTTCTGTACTTTCCCTATATGGACTGTATTGACTGGGCAGTACATTCAAAATCTTTAGCAATGTTTACATACTGTTTCAAAGCATTATTAACAAAATAAGCACATAAAGCACCTGTTCAGTATCAAACTTTAATGATTTGATAAACAAGGCAGGAACAACGCTTTATAATCGGGACATAGAGGGTTGTAGTATGATTTAAATGTTGGAGGCTTACAGACGAGGCCAATAGTCGATGTGTTTGGACTACGGAACACACACGTTTCCCTACAGCTGAGCTCACGGGATAGTAAAATCCTGATAGTAACAATCAGAGGGAGCTGCTGGCTGTCACAGTTCACAAAACATAATAAAAAGAAAAGTTTTCTGCAACTGAGAGTGACAAAAAGTATCGTAAGGTCTTCTTAACATGAGCAAAACATCCACCACCTGTAATCTGACACTGATATTTTATACAGGTTTATAATCCAGCTTGGATTCCAGCTTCTTAGAATCTGCCACTTTCCGTACGGCCTTCATAAAATCTTCCTGAGTGACGTAGTCGCGGTCTGCGCGGATAGCAAACATACCTGCAAAGCAGAGAAAAGGTGTCAAACCCTGAATGAATATACACATACAAAACAAACAAAAAATAACAGGGAATGGTTTACAAAGAACTAAAATTAGCACATTCTCTCCATTTCCATTGTGTAAATGTGTAAAACAAATTAACTTTTGGTGAACCACTGATATGCGGGGAAAACTCATAGGTCCTCTCTCACAAAGCACGTTCAGCTTTCCTGATTAAAGGGAAATACCACCAATTTTCCAAAATTTCTCCATAATTAAATGGTTTTGATGTAACCATTTACATCAGAAATTATGGTTTGGTGTGAAATGCTCTGTTCTAGAGAACCTTACCGAGTCAGAATTGTTCACAGTGGTGGAACCAGACGTCCATTTCTAAATGCTCCCTCATAGAAAGTTATTACATGAAATGGTTATGAATTCATTGTCTGTCTGAGACACTGTTTTATGATAGTTTTGAGAACTTAAAATCCATTCATGGTGGAGGGATACATGATATGCACGGTGTTGTGAGGCAAAATAGTCCCCAGAGAAAACTTATTATTTCAGATTTTCCACTATTTCCCCATCATCAACATTCCATATAAACTCAGAAGACTCGTGTAGGTTCACTGGTGGTTTTGGATAGTAAATAAAAGGTCTATATGTGTGTTGTAGTCATGGCGACCCCTGGTTCCTATCACCACCACTGTAAAGAAATCTGAACCATTTCACAAAAACCACTCTCAAATCACGGTCTACAGCTGAAAAAAAACTCTGTGTACTGTATCTGACAGTTCCGTACCAGCCTCTGTGCAGACGTTTCTCAGGTCAGCGCCATTGAACCCATCCGAGAGCTTGACGATGGCTTCATAATCTAAGAAACAGGAGCAGCAGCTCAGTTAGAGCTCAGGATGAAGGCAGAGATGTAAGAGAAGTTCCTGTATGAACTGTAACACACCTATGTCTCCGTGTTTGGTGATGGGTCCCGAATGGATCTTCAGGATGTCCAGACGAGCCTGTTCATTGGGCAGCTCAATGTCTGTAATTAAGAATCAGTTAAATACATTTGGTTATAAATACATACATACATACATAAATAAATAAAAATAATAATACCAACAACTCACCCTGTTTATTATTTTCACTGGTTAACATATATTTTATATATATAAAACAAACCTAAGGGTATATTTTTATATATAAAAATATATATATCTACATGAACAATTGGTCAATTCCAAAAAAAAAAAAGGTTGGGTAAATTAAATGAAAACATCTTGAACAGGTGATGTAATCATGCTTAGATATAAAAGGAGCGTCCAGGAAAGGCAGAGTCTGTTATAAGCGAGGACGGTTTGAGGCTAACTTGCCTAAAAAAAAATGTAAAAAATAAAGCATCTGCAAAAAAAGTAGTGGGTAACGCGCAATTAACACTGATCACATTTTGGAGCAACATATGCTGCCTAAGACACAGTCTTACCATTTCTCCTCTCTCCTAATGTAAAGTACCCTTAGGTTTGTTAAAGGCACTGTTTGTTTTAGAATTGACTTACGGATCTTCCTGTCCAGTCTGCCGGGCCGCAGCAGCGCTGGGTCCAGAGTGTCTGGACGGTTAGTAGCCATGATCATCTTCACTCTGTGCAGGGTGTCAAATCCATCCATCTGGTTCAACAGCTACAGAAAACATTTACTAACAGTTAAATGCCAACTCTAATTAATAACGAAAACGGTCACTCACCGTCTAACAGAATGTACATTCTCATTTACAAACATAAAACCAAAACTATGGACATGGCGTACCTCCATGAGTGTCCTCTGGATCTCTCTATCTGCAGATGTTCCCTCAGAAAAACGACGACCACCTTTAAAAAGACATTCACAAAAAATTCCACCTTAGTAAATGTTTATTTACACACTGAACAAGTCTTAGCTGATCAACTGTTTAAATATTTTTTTTCAACAAAATCCTATTAAATCAAAATTATCTTCTTGGGATGATAAATATTATAAATATCGTCTTTGAACTCCATTCTTCAGACCACTGGACTTATTAATTGAAATAACAGTAGAACCTCAACAGCAAAATATAGGCACTTGTAGTAAACCTTAAAATATTACATGAAAACTTTAAATATTTAAAAAAAAAAAATGGCCCCAGGATGCAAGTCTTTAAAACCTACCTGTGTGCTTGATCTACACACCTGGCATCTTTTCTCTGCAAGTTCATTAATTTTGGGGATCAGTTTCTAAACTGCTGAGTGTTTATAGCGTTCATAACGTTTATGTTAGTTGCAGATGAAACGCAGCTGGTGTGTTTGATGATGTTACTGGTGTGGAATTGTGTAGAATTTGTGGTGTAACCACTGTCCCATAGATTGTTGCTGGGGGAGGAGGGTGGGAGTACAAGTTATGTTGCAGTGCATGCTGGGTACTGTAGTGCAGCACATTGTGAAGCAGGCTAGTATTAAAAATAAACTAAATAAAAATAAATTGAGAGTAATTATATGGGCCTGATCTGTGTTTGACACATGGGTTTTAGACAGTACTAGATTCATTTAGATGAAAGGAAAAATTACCGATAGCATCGATCTCATCCATGAAGATGATGCAGGGCTGGTGGTCCCGAGCGTAGTTGAACATTTCTCTAATCAGCCTGGCACTCTCACCAATGTACTTATCGACGATGGAGCTGGACACCACCTGCAGAAACACCACCATTAATGCACTGTCCAGCTAAACAGCACTATTCTCCAAAAGAAAGCAACAGGAAACGTGAAGAAATCTTATTGGTGCTCTCTGTTACCTTCAGGAAATTGCAGTCTAGCTGACTGGCCACAGCTCTTGCTAGAAGGGTCTTTCCAGTTCCTGTTCGAGACACATTTAGACACTTTATTATTTATAGTTTCAAAAGAAAAATCTCATTTATTCAGCTAGGAGGCTAATGTATGAAGCTAACAATGTAGATTAGGTGGTTTCTGACACTGTACGTTATCTACCAACGTGGACTAAAGCACATTAGCTGAGATAAACACAGTTCACATTTTAAAATAAAGGTGACACAGAAGAACCACTTTCTAAAGAATCATTCACTGGATGTTTTTTAGAGAACCACTGTTGTAATGAGACTTGACTGTGAGGAACCTTTTAAAAGTTTACACACAAGGTAAAGGTTCTAGAAAGATCTCAAATTGGTATACACTCTTTAAAAAGAGGTGCCACAAAGGGTTCTCTGAGTGCTGCCATAGCAGAACCACTTTTGGTTCCCCAAGGAACCATGTTTGAAAAAGAAATTTGTACAAAAGGTACGTTACCAATGTAGCTTTGTATTATTTTGTGGACGTTCCTTAAACTTAAAAGTTCTCCATTCTCAGATATCTACTTTACAAAATGGTTCTTTACAAAGACCATCCTCTGAAAGATTCTTTAGTGTACCAAAAGTGGTTCCTCAATGGCATCGCGTAAAGAAACCTTTCTGGCACTTTCATCTCATTATGTGATGGTTCATCCAATTTAAACCTTGAAAGACGTTCTTTAAGCTCACAAAACCTTTTGAATCATGGTTCTTTAGGGTACCAAAAATGTTTTTTTTTCCTATGGCATCACTCAAATTCACATCTTTTAACTGCAGTAGCAGCTATTCTGAAGGCTGAATGTCATTTATGGTAATTGGTGGGCTAGAAGCTTCCACTATTTGTTAGCTACATTAGCCTCTTAGCTCCAGAGCTAAAACTAGAGAAGCAAGCTTCAGACACCCAATACACCTTGGCTGATCAATTAAATTTGGGGTAAGGTACAGTAGATTACTCACACAACTATTGCTTTAAAAGAACAAAACAAAGACACATAAGAATATTCAGCCTGTTACAGCACCTGGAGGTCCATACAGCAGGCAGCCTTTCGGGGGGATGATGCCCACCCTCTGGAACAGCTCAGGGTTGGTCAGCGGCAGCTCGATCACCTGAAGAAGGATGAATATAAATGTTCTCAGGTTCTCTTTCTCAGTGACGTAGCTCTGCTTTACACACTGAAGATACACTCACCTCTCTGAGTTCACGGATCTGCTCAGACAGCCCACCAATCTCCGAGTAGGACACACTGCCTGGGTCTTCATGGGACATGTTGTACACCAGTGGGTCGACCTCACGTGGCAAATACCTGCAAATAAGCAGAACGGAATCTCAACAGAGCGGCACTTAAAGCAAAGGTGCACAGTCTTCATCGCAAATACAGTCAGTCAGACAAGGTGTATGAAGTTTGCTTCTCGGGTTGTGGCTTTGGAGCTACAAGGCAAATTTTGTAAGTAATGGAAGCTTATACTCCACCAATTCACATGGTGCTAACCGCATGCCTAAATCACCACACACTTGCCTAGAGTGTGTCTGTAAATTTGGGTTCTCTATTTGCCAGCTTCTTATATGAATTTTCTGTTTCACATTGAATGGTGCAGCAGGTTATTCTGGCGCCCCAGGCAAAGGGAAAATTCTCAAATAAGGAGCTGGAGAAAAGGGAAGCTAAATTCAGCTTCATGGCTCAAACCATGTCAAACTGTAATCTTAAATAGACTTATGTGGTAGGCACGATGCTAATCAGTGGGGCAAAGGCTTCAATTACCTGTTTGCTACACTGGCCTTGTATGTTCCAGTGCTAAAACTAAAGAGGCAACAAACATGTCTTGGCTGATCAACTACATTTTGGGGTAAACATTCAATTCTTTTTTTTTTAATATCTCTTTAAAGCCTTAGGTACACTAAAAACTAAAAAAAAGTCCTAACAGATTTTAACAGACTGGGCATCTCACACTATCTGACGGATTTCTGCAGATTTTTTGGGTGACTGAAGTATTGGGGATGACACACTTCTCAAACTGCAAGTTGTTGCTGAACTGAACTCATGCGAACTCATGTTCTCCCCTTACTAGATGACACAGATAAACAATTGTGGATTGCAAATGTTGTTTGCACTGACACGGTAAAGAAGCAGCAGGTAACCATTTTTAGGGAGGATCATGGGTGTAGAGACATGATCAGTCTGGTAGTTTTTAAAGAGAGTTTTAGATAGACAAACTCGCTCGAGCCTTAAACTCAGCTCATTAAAAAGCTTTGCTCCAAGCGCGAGTGACTTTTCACCACTTTTCTTTTTTACTTGCTTTTCTTTTTTACTTCTTTATCGCTCTCAGTTCTCATAGGCTGTTGGAGGACTCAGTTCATGTTGAGTCGCTGATCAGTTTACACTAGATCACGCTCAAAGTCAGGTTGGAAAAAAATCAAATCATGTTTGATAAACTCTGACTGGTCTGAAACTCGATCGGGAGGCAGTAAACCTTGAGTCTCACACACAACTCAACTCTCTCTCCAACTGTCGACTCCAACCCAAAAATCTGCAGACTAGAGCTGACCAACTCAGACTGACTGAGAATCTGGGCTAAATTTGTTAGAGTGAGTGAGGTTTTTTTTTTTTTTTAAGCAGGATCATCTGCTCACCTCATGATTGTGAGGGTGGTCATATCCAGAGCCACTCTGGTTCCAGGCTTCAGCTTGGTTTTGTCCAGCTGTGATAAACAGAAACAGCAGAAAGAAAAGCATGCTGTCATACTGAAGTCCAAATCCTACTAATACTAATAAATGTGTGAAAACTGTACAGTATATTCAGCGCTTACCTGTCTGCGACAGCCAACCACATAGCGAGGGCCATTGGTAGCTTTAACAATAACTGAAAATGCAAAGAAAATCCATTTAGCTCCTCACAATGACAATATACAGAAATTACCAATAGAAGAAGGTAAAGGACTTACACTTCTCCTCCGTCAGCTGTTTGAGTACCTCGCCAACGATCTACAATGGAAAAAACAGCACATTAATACAAACATTCTGCTGTCATCACTGGTACACTTTAGCCATGTTTACTCTCTGTATTGAACTAAATAATAAAGATTGCTGTAAACAGTCTTGATAAGACTCCTATAAAATAGTGTAAATAATAAGACTGCTGTAAAAAGTCTTGTTAATACTGTAAAGCCTTATGGATGGTAAATAGTAAGACTACTCAGAGATAGGTCATATGAGCTAGTCTTAGTTAGTTAGGTAAATACTGTAAATAATAATGTTGCAATAAGTTACAAATAATAAGTTCCACCAATTTTCCAAAATTACCCCATAATTGAGTGTGTGAAATGGTTCAGATGTCTTTATAGTGGTGATAGGAATCAGGGGTCGCCATGACAACAACACAAATATAGACATTTTATTTACTATCCAAAACCACCAGCGAACCTATACGTGTCTTCTGAGCTTTACATGGAATGTTGATGATGGGAAAATAGTGGAAAATCTGAAATAAAAGTTTTCTTTGGTGACTATTTTGCCTCACAGCACCCTGCATGTATCCCTCCACCATGAATGGATTTTAAGTTCTCAAAACTATCATAAAACAGTGTCAGACATCAGTCAGTGAATTCATAACCATTTCATGTAATAACTTTGTGAGGGAGCAATAGGTGGACATCTGGTTCCCATCACCACCACTGTGAACAATTCTGACTCTGTATGTTTCTCTAGAACAGAGCGTTTCACACCAAACCACTCTGAATGAACTTTGTTCACATATTAACCACTGAATTGGGCAGAAAATTTTAAATGTAGGTGGAATTCCCCTTTAAACGTTGTAAACAAAGAACTGTACATTTGGCAAACAATGAGTCTTGAGTTTAATGCAAATACTGTTAACATATAGAGTAATGTAAGCGATGTAAATACTCAGAATGTTGTAAATTTCTGTAAGTAATATTCATAACAGCGTAAATAATTCTTACCTGACCAACACTCTGCAGAGCCTTCAGGTCATTCTCAGACTTCTCATACTGTTTAGTGAGCTCTTTCAGCTGCTCTCTCACTGAAAACACAATCCAGAGCAACGATTAATCAAATTAGAACTGGACAAAACATAAAACAGCTTAGAGAGAGTCAGTTTAATTCACTATAACCATTTAATTTAATTTGCATTACTGTAACTGTAGCTGTTAGCTGAGCTAACTTAGCTAGCTAGCTAACTTAGCTAGACCCAGCGAGCCAAAGAACGCGGGGATGTAGCCTGATAAAAGACATATAATCTAAGATTGAACACTGATATTTTAAATAATCTGACACCTTTTATTTGAATACAGAATAGAGTTTAGGTAGTCAGTTTCTTGGATAAACTTGTTAGCTTTGCTAGCAGCGCGTTATTTTTTTCCCACTCGTATTCGCTCAATCGCGCCCCGTGATTGGCGGACTGGTGGAGAGTAAAACGTACTGGCCAATATTCACGCAGAACGTAGGGACATTATTAGCCAATCCTGAACAAGAGAGGGCGGGACGGTGCGGAATACGGGTGTATTTTGCTAAGCTAACGTTACATACTCCTGCATGACAAAGCGAGTTCAATGAGGCTGCGGATTCATACGAAAACAAGTCGAAAACGGGTCCGTTATGAGATTTAAAGGTTAAAGTAGAAAATAAAAATTCCAGATTTGTCACTCACACTCCTTCAGACGCCCATCGATCTCTTTGTGCTCGAGTAATTTCTTTCTGTAGTCCTGTAGTCCTTTCTCCCGGCTGTCAGCCATGATCTCCTGCTTTACTGACCGAGCTGTAGATCTGCAGAGCTTTATGCTGCCTCCTGCTGCACTGAGGGAACGAGGGGACGAGGAAACAAGGGAACGAGGGAACGAGTGAATATGTAAAAAAAAAAACATGAGTGAAGTTGGAGGACTTATGGTAGGGAGCCAGTTTCCGCCAGTGGAGAAAAACACATAGCTATTAAGTAAATCATGATAATGAGAAAGTTTTTCATAATTATGACTTAGCATCTCATCTTAATGACCTAGTATTTCATATTTATTACTTAGTATCTTATATTTATGACTTAGCATCTCATAATTATGACTTAATATCCCATAATTATGACTTGATGTCTCATAATTAGTTATGTAATGTTATAGAATTCTGTAATTATGACACTCATATAATTAGGACTCACTTTCACATAATTATGACTTGGTATCTTATAATTATGATTTACATTCTCAGAGAAAATGTTGTCATTATTCTGAGATAGTAAGTAGTATGAGACATTATTAAGTCATTATTATGAGAAAGTAAGTCTCATTAACTTTTTCATTATTATAACTTAATAAATGGCTGTATATTTTTCTGACTTCTGATATTTTCTGATATTTTCCGACTTCCATACGACGACTTCAGAACACTGGAGAAAGAGAAAATGTTCCCACCTCTGCACTGCAAAACATTATATCTTGACAAGTGAAATCATCTTGTATCTAGTCTATATATCTATTTGTATCAATTTGAGATTGTTGTAAACTTATTATACGATTATTTAACCTATTTCTAGATATTTGTAGTTGCTTTAAGTGATTTTAGCGGGTCAAGTGATCTCACTGTAGTGGCAGAAAATTTTGCTTGTTGAGAGAAATTTGTCGGAAACAAACAAAATTATCTGCCTATATGAGACCATTTTGGTTAATAAAGTCACTTAAAACAATCAAATAAGCAATTGAACGTGAGGGAGTGTGTTTTCGCGAAATATCGCGAGATGATCTACGGCACTCGCCTTCGGCTGATGCCTGCCACCAAATCACAGCCGTGATATTATACGCGATAACACACGACCTCGAGTGTTCTATTGCTTTTATACAACAGTTAAATAAAAAAAAATTAAGAAAGTAATAAATTGGGCCGTGAGCGTGTCATTTAATATGTTTTAATGTTAGCAGTTCCTTCCGCCAAATTATAGTTCCTTAACAAGCAGCTCGTTGCTACGTCACAGTAACGAGCTCCGCCCACTCGCTGCACTGCCGGCAGTTCATTCCCCAGCTCCTTACACTAAGGGCTGAAATTGTCATTACTGAGCTTTTTTGTTTTTTTTTATTGCAGCAGTTTAATGGCTCAGTCCGATTTGGTCAGACTCTGAAGATCAGACAACACGTTTGGCGAATGGTGTTGGGTTCATTTCTGGCTTATTCCAGGTTGTTCAGCTGTTCTTCTGTCACAGCTGCCGACTGAAAAGCTGCTCAGTGGTGATGACAGTTTGGGAATTTAGTCTCATCTTCAGAGTCTGATCAAATCGGCTGTCGGTACAAATGTGATCTTAAAAGTATCCATTTTCTGTTTGTGAGCAAAGTAAGAAGTAAAAACGTTCAAATGGCTTGAGCGTCTCCTACTTTTTCCAGCTTTTTCGGTATACAACATTAATATATTTTAAATGCATTAAAAATTTACTACATTTATCTTTTCAAAATAGCCACATAAACTAGAATGCATGTGTAAAAAAAATAAAAGTTTAAATGGCCTCCTAATGGCATGTCTGTCTTTCCAATTTAGTGTATTGTAGTATTTGCAGTAGAAGAAGGAGGATGTATTTCACAAAAAAATGACTGCTACTGAGTGCGGATTGGTTTGGTGAGCTGATCAGCTCATTGGCTGGTTTGCTCTATGTCATCTTTAATGTACAATTTTACGTATATTAAAAATGCTTAAGCATTTATAAACTATAAGTATACACTGAAGCTCTATTGGATTCTGCTGATTTGGACTCGTCTAGCGCCCTCTAGCGTTTGGCAACCCCCGAAAACTTTACTGAGCGGCAGTGCTCATCTCTACACATTCTTTGCTGCTTTCTATTCAGTGTAATACATCCTCTTAGCCACAGGGCGGCAGCAGCTCCACATATTACATAAAGAGTAAGAGAGAGAGAGAGAGAGAGAGAGAGAGAGAGAGAGAGAGCTCTGAAAGTGTTGAGGCCTGCTCCATACAGAAAAAATTACAATAGATATATTTTACAGTGAAGAAAATATATTACGAATACGCTGTAACATATTCAGTCATATCTAAATATATTATGTAAATTGCAGTATATTCACAAACATAGGTGGAAAAATGTGTTTTGACATGTTGAAGATTAGACTTTACGATTTGGTAAAGTTCCAAACAAAATGGCATCTGACAAATTTCAGATATTCATAGATCAAACTCTAGTTTCTTGTGTTTTGCAAATAAAACAGTACATTTATTTCAAAATATCAATTGCTTGATTTATTACTCTAAATACATTTGCTGTTAACAGATTTATTAAATTTATATTGAAAATAAATGTGCACATATTTGAGTGATGTATTAATTTGGGACAGTTTAAAATATTTTCATATTTTTATACCATATATTTTTGAAATATTTCACATATATTTAATACATGTTGTTTATCCATTTTGGTAGGTTCGTGAGTGTTTTTTTTGTTTTTTTTTTACACATAATACGACATAAGCATTTGTTGATTCCGTATTGTAGCTAAATATATAGTTTTTCTAATTAAGTTTAAAGTAATTAGTTTTTAAATAGTACGTTAAGGAACAAAGCTGGTTTAAATATTTAACACTGAACTTAAAAACACATGCTCAACGTTTTTCATCTATACCATGAAAAACTGAATTTTCAAAAAATTTCACTGTAAACCGCAAAACATTTGAATTAATTGTTTGCTGATGTCACAAAAAACAACACATATATCCACCCATCCAGCCTACAGCAGTTTAGCCCCGCCCGTCCCGCCTACAGCAGTTTAGCCCCACCCATCCAGCCTGAAGCAGTTTAGCTTCACCCATTCAGCATACAGCAGTTTAGCTCCACCCAAATCAGCCTACAGCAGTTTAGCTCCGCCCATTCAGCCTACAGCAGTTTAGCCCCACCCATTCAGCCTACAGCAGCTTAGCTCCACCCAAATCAGCCTACAGCAGTTTAGCTCCGCCCATTCAGCCTACAGCAGTTTAGCCCCCCCATCAGCCTACAGCAGCTTAGCTCCCCCATCAGCTACAGCAGTTTAGCTCCGCCCATTCAGCCTACAGCAGTTTAGCCCCACCCATTCAGCCTACAGCAGTTTCGCCCTGCCCATCCAGCCTACAGCAGTTTACCTGCGTCCTGTCATCACCTGCATGGGCTGCGTCTCCCTGTTCTGGACACTGATTGGTTTGTAGAGGAGCGTCTGATGTTGACGTGTGGTCAGTTTGGCAGGCAGCCTTTTCTGATTGAATTGAGTAAAATGAATATCCTCTCTCGCTCTCTCTCTCATCCTCTCAGAGAATAAGGGAGAAGTTTTAGCATTTTAAGCAAGTTGACTTTTGACTTTTTATCTGGCCAAATTACAGTTAATTTTTTGTTATCCTCCCCATGAGCTGCCACGGCTCATTTTTACTTCTCTCTCAGTTCTTTTTCTTCTTCTATTGTTTAATGGGTGACGATATCCTGTCTCACCTTCCTGTAAAAGTTCGAACCATCCATAAAAGTGTTTTCATTGTCGGACCAAATTTTGGTGCTTTGTTGAGGAACCTTTCACACCTGCTATTTTGGTTCAGACCAAACTGAAAAGTCCAAACCGAACAAGGTAGCTGTGGAAGCTCCCTAAGGCTGGCTCTACAATCTTACATGCAACTTTAGCTGCTTGAAACCCACGTGAACCTAAATTGCGCTTGTGTTGTGTAATGTAAAGCATCCTTCAGCTCACTTAAAGCTCATCAAATTGATGATAATAGGTCACGTGATCATATCAAACAACATTAATTTAAACATTTGATTTCATCAGATCAGTGGACAACATAGTTTATTGAGTGGCTCAAGGTTTTTAGTTTTGTGTTTTCTAAAGCACAAAACAGCTGCATTAACTAATGATCACAGCTGTTTAAATGACTGCTTGTTTTAGAGTTTATCCTGATTTATGTAGCCAGATTCATTTTCTCTTCTCCTGGCACCTAATTTTATACACAGTTCAGATTCATTTGGAATACAATGATGAATATTATTGTGGAACTGGGGAGTGAGATGTTTCCATTTAAATAAACATTTTGCTAGTTAGGTTTAAATCATTTACCTCCTGGGGACATTCATACTACATATATAAAATTTCCTATGACATGACACCCCTGCTATGGAATGACACTTTCATGTTTCGTAAGCATGTATTGATAACACTCCCACTTCTTTCACTTCTTTTCCCATTTACGTTTTTCTGGTTCACGCTGTGGTTTGTCTGTGGAATCCTGCTTTTCTGGTAGACATCAGCACACATATCAGCTCAGCACTGTTAGCACTCAGAATTTTGGCATTGTTATGTTTGGATTGCAGCATATGTACGAACCCCCTCCACCCATTTCCCCTGCTCTACAGATCACTGCTGTCATTTTTGCTTTTTTACATCAACTGAAAATTCAACATTTCATGGTGAATGGATTAATAGAAATTATCTAAAACTAAATGTCAATTTTCAAGGACCAAAGGTGTGTTTGGAGAAAAAAAAGAGCAGCATTTGATGAAAGGAACAATGTGCTGGCTGTTAAGCATGGGGGTGGATCTGTCTTGATTTAGGGTTGTTAACAGCTGGTGGCACAGGTCGATGTAATTAACACAATGCTGGGGGGCCTTATAGCCCTCTAGCCTACACTTGGCATTGGACATGGTGACCTTAGGATCATATGTAGCTGCTCCGGAAAGTCCTATTCTATTGGTCAGTGCCTTTCTATGGAGATTATACAAGCTGTGTCAGCAATGGGTGACCTTAAAGTAACTGAACTCACTCAAAAGGACTGTCCAGATACAGTGGAC